GAACCAATGGAAGAATTGTGAAAAAATGGAAAGCACATGTGGAAGCCCTATGAAAGAAGAGTTTTGCCTTTTTAAAAGGGCAAGTAGTGGGTCAAACGACTAGCCTGAGCATATCTGACCCAAACAGAACCGTAAAATTGACATACCCACCCTTATGTAGTAGTTTGTTTTCGTTTATTGTCCTCTTTTCCCCTAAAAATCCATCCTTCCTGTTGTTGGAAAACATAGGGAATTTCTATCATTCATTGGATCATACTTCGTACAACAGAGGGGTCTTAACACATTATCCTTGTGATTGCAGCTTTGTGAGTGAGCACATAGAGACACTTGAAGAGATTGATATGGAATACCGAGAGTTGGCTCTTGCATCCGGAATTGTGAATTGGGGCCGGGTCCCAGCCCTCAACTGCACCTCCACTTTCATAACTGACCTCGCAGATGCAGTGATCGAAGCTCTTCCGTCTGCCATTGCAACAGTCTCAACAACATCACCCAACTCCCCTCCAACTGAAGAAGCTGTCATGGATCCCTTGCGGTACATAACCAAGATGCTTTTGGGCTCTATTTTGACGTTCGTTTTGCTCTTTTCCCCAAAGATGCTCTCGGCATTCAAGAACCACCTCCTTTAGAAGTGTGGTAATATCAACACATTATTGTATCCAGACAAAATATTAATACATTGAAACACGTAAATGATACCCAAATGCAAAAGTTTTAAACTTTCATACGGTATTGTATGTAGTATACAAAATATTATTGTTCCCCAACCTAAATAATATCAAGTGCATTGAGGAAGGAGGATTTTCATTAAATACTACTATATTTGTTCCATAGTAAAGTTCTCATAGTACTGAATGCCAGCTTTACTTTAAGGCGGAATAGTATGTTAACTTTTATATTTAATTTTAATTGATTAGGCTTCGGATGATTATGTTAACTTTTAATTTTGACAGCTAGTTGACTGTTCGTAATCACATTGTTAAAAATGACAACACTTTTGTGTAGTTGGTATTTAACTAGCACTCATCGTCCAGTACTAAAGTTTTGATTTACTATTATAACTATTATAACTATTAAGAGCCCGTTTGGTAGCACATAAATCGGCTGTTCTGGCTGATTCTGCTGAAATTTATGAAGTTCTGGCTGTATTGGCTGATTCTGCTAATTTAAGAAACAATTATTTTTAAAATATATTTTATTAATAAAATAAAGAAAAAATTATATGTAAAAATAGTTAAAATGATCATCTACAGTGACTTCAGCCAAAACGGCCAGAAAAGTAACTCCAACCTTACTTTTTCTGCTTATTACACAACTCAGCGCGCGAAAGTAAAAGTTACGTGTTTGGTGAAAAAGTTGGCTGATAAGCCTGATAAACCGAAAAACAGTGCTGCCAAACGGCCTCTAAGTATCTTCATGCTCATTCTTAAAGTATCTTCATGCTCATTCTTAAGGGTATTTCTGTAACTCTATTCTATCAGTGGAAATAATTAAAATACCCCAAACTTTCAAGGGGTGTGAGGTAAACACTCCAAACTTGTATATGCAATTTAAATATTTCAAATTTTATATAAAAAAGTTATTTTAGCATCACAATCATACATTATTTCTTTAAAAAATGTTAATTTTTGGTGTTAATTTCATAATTTAAAATATTTTAGCATTCATGAAGATTTAATTAAGGAATTTAATCAATTCAGGACATGAAAGATAAACGAATTATCAATTTGGGACCTGAAAGATGAAATGCGTTGATAAGACCCGAATAATGTAAAACTATCAATTTAGGACCTGAATGATTGAAAACTATCAATCTAGGACCTAAGTTGTGATAAATTTTGTAATGTTTTTTTTATTTTGAAAATTTTAAATATTATTTAGTTTTATTAAACTAATAAACTTTTGTGAAGAATAGTTTTTAAAAAATTAGTAATGGAATTAATACAAAATTAAATAAATCAAAACCTATAAAATGTTAGGTCCTAAAATGCTAGTTTTCCATCATTCCGGTTCTATATCGATACGTTTCATCTTTCGGGTCCTGAATTGATAGTTAATCTATCTTTCGGGTCCATTGTAAAATAAATAATACCACCCCCACTCTATATAATTGCAACAAATTTAATTTGCTATTTTAAATTATGCTGCAATTAACACCATAATTTTACATTTTTTAGGAAATAATATATGATCATGGTGCTAAAGTAATTTTTAATATAAATTTGGGGCACATAAATTACATATGAAAGTTTGAGGTATTTATCTCACACTTCTTCAAAGTATGGAGTATTTTAGTTATTTTTCCCTATTCTATTAATCTATTTTGGTGTTACTTGCTTCTCTCTCCTTACTCATTCTATTTGCATTTTGGAAATGCCGACAAATTTGGATTCTCTTATTGGTTTGTAATCAAGAGGAAAGTTCATGTCAGAACCTCCAAAAATGGACCTCCGTACGGACCTCGGCGTTTGGGCCCCTTCCTGGTGGAATTTTTTGATGAAATTTTTTGAGCATGTTCTTTATCAAGTCTAGTTTACGCATACCAAATTTAAGATAAAAATTCCATCTGAAAGACAGTCAAATGATTTTTTGAAGTTAACTGGGCACTTTATATACATATAAAATGCAGTTCATCATCATTTCATCATTTTCATTTACCCCAATGCCGCAAAGGCCCTACGGTGGGGTAACATATAAAATGTAGTTAACTTCCAAAAATTATTTGACTGCCTTCCCGATGGAAACTTTAGCTGAAATTTGGTATGGGTAAACTAGACTTGATGAAGAACATGTTCAAAAAAATTCATCAAAAAATTTCACCGGAAAGGGGCCCAAACGCCGAGGTCCGTACGATGGTTTGTTTTTGGAAGTCCTGACAGGAACACTACTCTTGTAATCAAATCAAACTATACCTAAAGGGACAATCCCCTCTCCAAAAATCCCCCCTTCTCTCTCCTATTAATATTAGTATTAATGTTATTTGTTATTATTAATTATTATAATCTATCAATATATTAATTAAATGAACTAAGTCTCTCCCCGCTCATTCTTAAGGGCATTTCCATAACTCCACTTTCTATAAAGCTATTTCCATATCACTTTGCTTCTCCCTCCTTACTCAACTCTCTCGACTGCCTCTCATTTTATCCTCTCTTATATTTGCATTTTTCAATTATGCCGGTAGATTTGGATTCTCTTATAGATACAGATAGATTATAATAGTTATAATAGTATACACTTTAAAATGTAGAAGGAGAGCTTTGGCACACCGATTAAGATGTTATTGTGTGACTGAGGTCACAAGTTCAATTCTCTTGAGCATTCCTCACTCGCCTTGTGGGAATGCCTTCTTGGGCTGCCAATATTTTTTACATACATTCAATTGCCTACATACATGGAGGTAGGGTTGGCAACAAGATGTCATCATTTGCTTGTCATGCCTTTGTAGCTGCGATTTTCGATGCCGTAATTTTAACCGAATTGGGCGAAGTAATTTGAGGAGAGATGGAGCCCCATCCCCTACTTCGAAAGACCAGGAGCGACGTTGAAATGAGGATTTGATAAAAAAAAATACTGATAATTTTTTAGTTAAACAATTTTTTTTTTATCAAAAACCACTTTTTATCAAATACTCCAATTTTATTTTTTTCACTTTAATCACTTCTATTGTAAAGTACTATCAACTTTTGCTTTAAAGAACTTCCTTTAAAACCACTTTAAAAGTCACGTTTTCAAATACACCTTAAGTTTGACAAAACCCTAGTGGAGCTTTAAGCAAGTGGCTCATGAAGTGCTTGATGTTCTTCAGTCTTAGCTCGAAAGGATCATCTTTTTCTCTTTCAAATATAGGATCAACATCTCTTGAACCTTTTGATATATGTTTTGTGATTATATGTGTCACAAATCAGATCGGACTGGATTGTATTAGATTAAATTATATTTATGCATTCAAAACAAAATAGAGTTGAAAATAGGCAAAACTAGACAATCAGAGTTGCAATAGTACTAAAAAGTATCAAACTAGAGTATACCTCATCGAATTGGTTCACAACATATCATATTAGACCAAACTAAATTAAAGTATATCAAACTAGACTATCAAATTCACGTCAAAATATACATGTCATTAATTCATTGACAATAACGTAGAGACAACAATTTAGTAGTTCTATTGTGATTAGGGGAGAGCACGGGTCAGGTTCGGGCGGGTCGGGTTCTAAAATCGTAAACCCGTTCGGGTATCGGGGTTAAATTCTGTAACCCTACCCATAAATATTTAAGTGTAAAAATTTCGGATATTTTGAAGTTCGGTTGCTTTCGGGTATGGGTCGGATATCGGATATTTCGGATATCCAAAAAATATTACTTAACTACTAAAATTTAATTTCTTTTCACAACTGGTTGAGATTTATACAGGATAAACAGAAATTACACAATATAAGGGGATTTCCCAGACCCAGTTCATAAATTAACAGTTTTTATGAACATACAAGTTCATAACCTGATAAGTTGGCTAATGGCTAACCAAGTTTTAATGTTTAACAAGTAACACATAACAAAATATACAATCTGTACCACAGTACCAGATTACCAATTGTGCAATTATACAAGTTTTTGACATGCAAAGTAATAAAAGCAAAAATACAAAAACACTTCGCAAGCAGCCAATCCCATTCAATTCCTTCTTGAGGTCTGCACTTCTTCATACTGCCTTCAAACTTGAACCTATAAAAATACAAGTATGTCAAACATCTAAACAAATAGTATTGTTTAAAACAAGATTATCACACTGATGCATAAATATTGGCTCAGATTGCTTATTTTCAGTTCATATTTTGTATGGGGGCATATTATATCAAGTAAATGACGGCAACTATAGTTACTTGGCCATAACTTAACAGAACACCAACCCACGACAAATCAGTTTGTTGTGGAAGCTTCATCATAGCCAAGAAAATGATTGAAATGATAAAGGGAGAATAAACAGGTATAGATGTATTACCATTACACAGTTCACAAGGGGCATAGGCTCAGGTAGCTTATTTTCACATTCAAAATTTATATGGGGGCATACAGATTTGAAGTAAATGGCGGCAACTATAGTTACCTAGCCATCACTTAAAACAACACCAACCCATACAAAATCAGTTTATTGTGGAAGCTTCATCATAGCCATTAGCCCATCAATCAAGAAATGATTTAAATGATTAAAGGAGAATAAGCTTGTGTTACCATTCATTATAACTTCACAAGGGGCAAATGGGCAATAAGCTTTTGTTACCAGTCTTAACTATGTTTACTGCTTCCATCATTCATGTACAATTCAGTGATTCACAATCAAATCTGCCAACAAAATCAGTCATATATAATGCTCAACAATAAATAAGTAAAAAAAGCAGTATTTTTACTGCAATAAGATCCTGCAAAGATCCACCAACATAGCCATCAGGACCACCAGTAACACTACCATCAATTAATTCTGCAAAAAAATTTAACAAATCAGCCTGTTTAATATCAAAGAAAACATATGAAGTACATAAAATGTAAAACAAAAATGAAGAAGTTTAAATTAACCTGTTTCCAGCCTTTGCACTTCATCTATATTTTCTTCAACTGAGATAGGGTGGCTTTGATTTCTTAGCCAATCTTGAGTACAGATTAAAGCTTCCACAATTTTTGGACTTAATGAACTTCTGAAACAGTCCAACACTCTACCACTAGTACTAAAAGTGGACTCAGAAGCAACAGTAGAGATTGGAACAACAAGAATATCTCTAGCCATTTTTGAGAGGATAGGAAACCTCTCACTATTTAACTTCCACCACCTTAAGATGTCAAAATCTGTATCCTCTTCAATTATGGCCTCACTCAAGTACAGTTCCAACTCACTTTGTTTCAAACCCAACTGCCCATTCTCAAACTTCTGTTTTTTTAGCTGGGCTTTCAATTTGGAGATAGGTCTTGCAGACATAGTCTCTAATTGTGTTTGAGAGGGAGTTGAGCTTGAAATCATGCTTCCAGTACCAGAATCAGAGTAGTTGGACACATAATCATTATATAACTCATGCAAAGCAAGCTTGATACTTTCAAAGAATTTCACACCCTTTGGTTCTGTATAAAGGGCATTCAGTTGAAAAGGCATGTATTCAAACTTGTCCCTTGGGTCAAGCACATTTGCAAAAAAGATCAGAAAATTCATTTTCTCTGGGTCTCCCCAATATTTGTCCAGTTTGGATTTCATAGTAGAGCCCATTTTACTTGTGGAAGCCTTGGGAGACTTCATCATGTCTTGAAGCACAAGAAACAAATCAGAAATTTCAGAGAAGAAAGTATTGGAAGTAACATACAAAGAGCCAGAAATCCTTAGGGTCATTTCATAAAAACTTTCAAGAACTGACACTTCTGTACCTAAATCAGACCCATAACAACTCTCATTCTCCTCATATGCTTCAAAAACTCTTTCATTGGATAATGCTGACTTTAACATCAGATAGGTGGAGTTCCACCTAGTAGGAACATCTAGGTGCAGGCCACATTTGGACTCTGCTCCTATCAAATCAGATATATCCTTGAATTTTTGGAGCCTAGAAGGAGAGTTCCTAACATACTTCACTGCTTCCCTAACCCTCACTACAGATGTATCAACATCCTTCAACCCATCTTGGACTGCCAGATTCAAGATGTGGGCAATACATCTCATGTGTAGGTATTTCACTCTAACAGGAGAAGCACCCCATGACAGAAATTTTTTCTTTAAAAATCCTATTGCAGTATCATTACTGCTAGCATTATCAACAGTCACAGAGAATATATTCTTCAATCCCCACTCTAATAAGCAATTTTCTAGGGCCTTGGCAATGTACTCCCCTTTGTGGGAAGACACTTGCACAAATGAAATCACCTTCTTCTGTAGCTTCCACTGACTATCTATGAAATGGGCAGTAATACACATGTAGTTGATCCTCTGAATAGAGGTCCATGTGTCAGTGGTTATACTGACCCTTTGGGTGGTCTCTTTGAACAACCTTTTCAGGCTCAACTTTTCATCTAGATATATTTGGTAAATGTCCCTAGCAATAGTCCACCTAGAAGGGACAACAAACCTTGGACATGCTACAGAGACAAACTTTCTAAACCCCTGCCTCTCAACAAACCTAAAAGAAAGCTCATCAATTATTAACATTTCTGCAAGAGCTCTCCTGATTAGGGTTTGGTCAAAGACCCAGATCCCTATAACCCCAATAGTTTCCGGAGAGGTGGTTTGAGTATTAAAAACTGGTTGGAAGGTTAATAAGGCTTGTCTAGTCTCTTTGGAGTGGGTGTTTTTCAGACAACTAAGCATGTGGTTTCTCAGAGAAGAAGTTTCATGCCTTTTAGACTCACAACAGTACACCTTAGCACAATATATGCATCTGCCCTTCACAAGGACTCCCTTGCTATCATACATTTTGTGAAAGTGTTCCCATATCTTGGATCTAGTTTCAACCTGTTTCCTCTTTTGTCCAACACCAGCAGTTGAAGCAATATTCTGAGTTTGAGCTTCCACATTCTCAGCTTCCACTGCAGGTTGTTGGGGTGGAGGAGGTTGAGCACCAGATACAGATATGTCTTGGGATTCCATCTATAAACCACTACATGAAACTTAGGGACCTTTTCTTAGCTTCCACAATCAGAATTCAGAAAGAAAAAGGAATCATTCTTTCATCATCATTCATTCATTATTCTTTGGGGCCACAATCACTCCTTTATGTACATAGTTATAATCATTTCAAATCATTCTCAGTCAAGGCAGCAATAGATATCAAGTCTGGAACAATCACCAAGGTGATTTACAGAATAGTATAAGCAGTAGGCTTAACTATTCTCTACAGACTTAGAAGAACCAGTCAACTCTAACTACTCAGCTTGAGTGTTTGAGTCAATCAGGTAACTTCTACATCAACAATAACCAACATTTAATAGGCAACATTCATACACACAACCTTACACAGCTTCCACTATGACAATTCAGAAAGAAGCAATTATTCTTTCATCATTAATCATTCATTCATCATTTCAAATCATTCTCAGCCAAGGCAGCCATAGATATCAAGTCTGGAACAATCACCAAGGTGATTTACAGAATAGTATGAACAGTAGGCTTAACTATTCTCTACAGACTTAGAAGAACCAGTCAACTCTAACTACTCAGCTTGAGTGTTTGAGTCAATCAGGTAACTTCTACATCAACAATAACCAACATTTAATAGGCAACATTCATACACACAACCTTGCACAGCTTCCACTATGACAATTCAGAAAGAAGCAATTATTCTTTCATCATTAATCATTCATTCATCATTTCAAATCATTCTCAGTCAAGGGAACCATAGAAATCAAGCCATACAAATGAAGTCTGGAAATCATTCATACACACAACCTTACACAACTTCTACAACAACAATAAGTCAATAACCAACATGTAATAGGCAACATTCATACACACAACCTCAAGCAAAGACATAACCATAATTTATACATAATTACAGTTTCGGACAGACATGCCAACAATACAGTTTCAACATCATATTTTACTTCCACACTTCAACATTCAAGGCTGCTCGAGTCACACAATAAACAACAACTCACAAGTCAGTAAGTCACAACCACAATTTACACACTCTTCATCAAGCAGAGAATAGAAGTTATACCTCACGCGTGAGTGTGACTGATATGAGAGATTGGGAGACTGAGACAGAGGCACAGAGCTTAGGTTTACCAGAAGGTCCAACCGGAAAAGGGGCAATGCTTCCACAGTTCAACGTCCGATCCGATGACTTTAGGGTTTCCACTTCAAACCAAGAACTCAAGAAGCGTGTGAGAGTAAATGACGAACACACTCAGACCCTCATAGAGTCACCATCTCACAGCCGGAGTCCGGAGAGATGAAGTGGTCAAAAGAGGCGGAGAGATTTGGAACAGAGGGTGAGAGTAACTGAGTAAGGTCAGCGAAGAGAGTAGTCGGAGAATCAGAGTAGAGAGATAGAGAAGGAGGCGGAAATGGGTTAGGGTTTATTAGGGGAGTATATATATAAATATATATGGGCTGGGTACTGGGCTGGGGGTTCGGGTAGGGATGGACTGGGCCGGGCCGAACCGGCCCGGAACCGGACCGGCCCGCTACTGTGCGGGCCCGGACCGGACCGGGCCCGGTTGGCCGGTTCCGGGCTTTTAGCCCGTGTTGGCGGGTCGGGCGGGCCGGTTCCGGGCCCTATTTTTGTTGAACCGGCCCGGGCGGGTCGGGCCGGGCCCGGTTCATTTTTTTTTTTTGGTTTTTTCAATTTTTTTCTTTTCCTAGGGTAGGGCTGGGTGTTTTAGGGAGGTTTGGGGCATGGGGGTGAGGGGGGGGGGTAGGGAGATAACAAGAAAGTAAAAAAAAAAAAAAACATTGAACCGGGCCCGGCCCGGCCCGGCCCGGTTAGGCCCGGACCCGGTATCAACCCGGGCCGGTTCCGGGCCCATGTAACCCGAAAAAAAGCCCGCCCGGCCCCGGCCCGGAACCGGAACCGGCCCGGGTCCATCCCTAGGTTCGGGTTTTCGGACGGGTCGGTTGGGCGAAACCCAAATCCTACCCGGCCCAATAATATCCAGGCTTTAGCCTGGCGGGTTTTCGGGTTTCCATTTCGGGTCGGTTGACCCTACCCGGTCGGGTAATATCCGAAATATCCGATCGGGTATTCGGGTTGGGTCGGTTTATGCTCAGCCCTAATTGTGATATAATTGTACAAACAGAAATCTAGTAAGTAATATTTTGTGATATTCGGATTTCGGAGTATTTTTTTCTTAGAATAGTGTTCATTTGGGACTTAAACTTGTCTACATATCAACTTACATTGGAGTTCACAATTTGCTCCATCTATTTCAAAATACACTAGGGAGTGTTTGCAATTGCTTCAACTTTAAAAAAATGATTTTTTAAAGTGATTTTGGGAAAAGTGATTAATAGTAAAAGTTGGTAGTGTTTGAGAAAAAAGTGATTCTGAAAAAGTAAAAGTTGGTAGTGTTTGGTAAAATAAGTACTTTTTGTGTAATAGAAAAAGTGAAAAGCAGTTTAAAGCACCCTTCCACCTGCTTCCAGCTTTTAGCTTTTAAGTGATTAATTTAAGCAGAAGCTGTAATTTGAAAACACTCTTTTTAGCTTTTTGTAAGCCAAAAGCTGAAAAACACTTTTTTTAAGCAACCACAAACACTGCTTAACTTGCATTAGAGTTTAAAGGTTACTTCAACTTTTTTTCGTAGTAAAATTATGGTACTCGTCAAATATGGAGAGAAAACTTGGAAAACATTATTTGAATGCTTTGTCAACTTTTAATTTAAATTAATTAAAATTTTAAAAGGTAAAAAAGACTAGATTTCTGGTGCTTACTTTTATATTATGTTTATGATCGTTTATAATATTTCAATTGAAAATATTGAAATGCTATTAAATTAGGAATTATGAAACATTTGATAGAATAGACTAGTGTACTTTTGCTGTAAATGTTGGATGTTGTATTCATAAAGCAATTGACAATACTATTTTGTTTTTAATTTAGCTTAGTATAGAGTGATTTTGAAAAATCAACTACATACGTTTGATTTCTTAAATGTGTAGCTCATAGAAGTACTACTCTCTTCGTCTCATCTTACATGTAATTATCCCAAAATAAGTATCACATTTTTCTTTTTGGTCTACAATATTTCACTTTCTTATACTGATTTATCTTTTTCTTTTGGAAGCTTATACTCATATATCTCAATCACAACTTTTATTTTTCAACTACTTTATATGGGATAGAAGTAGTATAATGTTACATAGAAAATAAGTTGATGCACTTTTTAAACTCAAATATGAGTTGATTGTACTCTTTGGTCCGTCAATTTTTTTTGAATAGTTCATGAATTTCGTTGGTAATTAAACTCTTTAGTTGGTCGGAAACTAAATCAAGTACCAATAAAATTGGTATTCGAAATATTGATGATTGGAATCTTCTTCATGCACACTCTACATGTTTTAATAAATAAAAATAAGGTACCATATAAAAGAAAAAAAAAGTGGTACAAATGTACCACACTCGCCCTTTCATTGGTATTGTTTATTACCGTAATATTATTATTATCCTGCAAGTACACATTTAGACTATGTTTGACAACATCAAAATTGGATGAATCGGCTGATTCTGCTGAAATTTATAAAATTCTAGCAGAAATGACTGAATTTGTTGAATATGATGATTTAAGAAAAACATATGGTATTTAGAATATATTTTATTAATAAAATAAAGAAAAAGTTATATGTGAAAATAGATAAAATAATTCTCTACAGTAACTTAAGCCAATACAGTCATAAAGGTAACTTCAATCTTACTTTTTCTTAGGATGTTTTTACTTGGACTGTAATTTGCTGGTCTGGTCTGGTCTGAACTGGTCTGGTCTAGTCTGGTATGGTTTCTTTGTATTTTTATAACTATCCAAGTCTGGTCTGGTCTGGTCTGGTCTGGACTGGTCTGGTCTGGGACAAATTACAGTCCAAGTAAAAACATCCTTAGTATTACATAATTCAGCCCGTAAAATCAAAAGTTATGTGTTTGATGAAAAAATTAGTTGATAAACATGATAAACCAAAAAACATTGTTACCAAACAAGCTCTTATTTAGTACTCCCTCCGTCCCAGGGAGAAGTTCTCACTTTCCTTTTTTGGTAGTCCCAACAAAAAGTTCCTATTTCCCTAAATGGAAAGTTATCCTACATCAAAACAGTGTCAAACAGTGCAAAACAGTGCCAAACAGTGTCGAAACAGTGCCAAACAGTGTCGAAACAGTGCCAAACAGTAAAATTTACCCCTCAGTAACTTTATTTCCTAAATATGTGTGAAAGTCAACCCGGGAACTTCTCCCTGGGACGGAGGGAGTAATATACAAGGTGCAAATTAGGTAGTTACAGAACTCTCTCTTCTCTCTAGAGAGAGAAGAACCCTAGCAGCCGTCTCCCCTCTTCGTAGGGGTTGAGATTTTCCGCCACCCCTATCAATATGGGGTTAGAGCGGCAATATAGAGAAGAACCTTCAATGATATATTATCATATACGTAGTATAAAACCCCTACCACGTATGAGATTTGATAAATTAAGAGCCATTTTGGTAGCACAAAAATCGGCTGATTTGGCTGATTCTGTTGTAATTTATGAAGTTGTGCCTGGAGTGGCTGTATTGACTGATTCTGCTGATTTAAGAAAAAAAAATATACTTTATTAATAAAATAAAAAAAATTATACTCGGTATGTAAAAATAGTTAAAATGACTATCTACAGTGACTTCAGCCAATATAGAAAAAAAAAGTAACTCCAATCTTACCTTTTCTGCTTATTACACAATTCAACGCGCGAAAACAAAAGTTACGTATTTGGTGAAAAAGTTGGTTGATAAGGCTGATAAGCGGAAAAACATTGTTACCAAACGGCCTCTAAATCTTATTTTAAAATGCCATGATCAAACACAATATGTGTACCTCTATGTGATTCTATGAAGATATGCCATCTACCTCATACCGTAATATGTATTTATGTAGTACTGCTGTATATTTATTTGACATTTTTTTTATAATTTTTTGCAGGGTTGCTCTTGAAAACCAAAGCTTTAAACCCCATTTGTTGTGGAATTCTCCATCCCATTGATCGATAAATAGATGAAATAACACATGCGTGATTGTAAATGTACTCGAAATAATTTGAATAAGACAAAGAACTTACCCATAATAATGAAAAGGCTAAAGGGTCAAATAGGTACATGAACTAACTTAAAGTGTTCAATTAGCCCCTTATATAGGAGGTTCTGCCCGGCCGTCGCCAATTGGGGCGTTTCCCGGTGGAATTTTTTAATGAAATTTTTTTAGCATCTTCTTCATTAAGTCTAGTTTATCCATACCAAATTTCAGCTAAAATTTCAACCGGGAAGGCAGTCAAATGATTTTTTGAAGATAACTGTGCAGGTAAACAATGCAGTACATTTTGGAAAATCATTTGACTGCCTTCCCGATTTAAGTTTTAGCTGAAATGTGATATGAGTAAACTAGACTTAATGAAGAAGATGCTCAAAAAATTTCATCAAAAAATTCCACCGGGAACCGCCCCAATTGGCGACGACCGGGCAGAACCTCCTATATAAGGGGCTAATTGAACACTTTAAGTTAGTTCATGTACCTATTTGACCCTTTAGCCTAATGAAAATACTGTGGTCCTGCGGAGAACAAATTAATGTTTAAAAGAGTCCGAAGCCGTTAAAAAACTGCTTTAGAACTAAGTTTACAAATCGGTTAAAAAAAAGACCTACGTTCACAAATAATGCCCAAAATGGTTTCCAAAATAAAAAAAATCAGAAGCAACAATTAATTGCCTACGCGGGAACAGTTATGGGATATACGGTTCCCTTTTTAAATATATAAAGATTATATTAATATATTTGGTGACAAATAATTGAGATAATAAGGTGGCCAAGCCTGTTGTTCATTTGTATGACGGGCTTGTAATTAATTTACATAAGAGCAATGTCGGGAAGTCATTTTATTATTTTAGTTAGTAGTCATATTTTTATTAGAGATTTAAAGTATTAATATTGGTGTAATTTTTTCACATAAAAATTATTTTATACATAGTACGTAGTATGAAAATCATATCTATCTTTTACCGTAATTCTGTAATTGAAATCCAAATTACAATAAGTTATTGTCAATTTGCTAATTTTCCACAGTCTCAATGTGGCCATTCAAATAATTTAACAAGTGAAATTGGCTAATTTTCTTCAGCCCCAATGTGGCCCTTCAAATAATTTAACTAGAGAAATTGGCCTTCCCTGCAAGGCAAGGGTTCAACAAAACAAAAGTCTCACCTTAAGGGATAAACATTAAGAAAAGGATGACATAACCTATGCTTCAATTCAAGCTCTATGAATGAATATATTCTTTGCTTTCCTCAAGACCCAATAGAATCAATATATTGAAGCTCCTTAGGCATAAATTGATACAAGCCCAAATAAAGATTGCATGTCAGATTCCAATCACAGCAGAATACTAGTTGGGTGGGGGTGGGGGAGTAAGGGAGTATGATTGTTGCAATAAACATGAATCCATAACCTATTTGTTTGATGCCATATAACATACGTAGTACCTATTAAACAAGCTCTAGAGTTGCTTACTCTCTCAACAAAGCTCTCACTAAAACATATATGCCAGATTTATGTTACTACTAGTACAAGGAATACAGAACACCCACGCAACAGTAAGGGAGTCGAGAATGATGAATGAATGAATGACTACGGTTTTCCCGTTTGATTGATTGAAACCAGACTTTCCATGTACGTGAAAACTCCTTCATAATTAGCATTTCTCAGAAACCCAACAAGATCAATTACTTCTTTGGACTCTGGATCAAATAGAAGTAGCCTATTCCGATCACTGCGTAGTATAACTTTATTGTTCTTCCATTGGCCAACAGGACCCGAAACATCAGAGAAAGGTCCTGGTCCTACAGTTAACTTCTTAGTCCAGCAGCACCCATCATCCCATGTCCAAAGCTCAAAAACCTTCTCCCGACCATGGAGAGAGTAAAAGGCAATAGAATCATCATATACTCCTAGGCACCTGGAACTTGGTTGTGCATAGCCTGGTACATCCATCTCTTTAAATGCATTGTTAGCCATGTCAAACGATATGATCACTTCATCCATTTCTTTGACTTCGGCCTTTGCATACCAATAACAACACCCATTCACATAAATGTAGCAATTATTCATCTCCAAGTAATAACATTTAGCCAGATCTCCACAGTATTTCCAAGAATTTGTCCTTGAAGAGTAGACCATGACAGTTTGGGGTAGCTGTGTGGCAAAGCTTCCTTCATCATCATGATCATTGTCATCACTAGTCCGCCAACGGTCTTTAATAACAACAACCTTGAACTCATCAGTGGTTCCAGGATTTAGCCCAAAACCACAAACTTCGTAGTTAGCAAATGTGGCAATGGATGGCTCAAAAGTTATTTCAGGCAAGACCTTCAACTCATTGATGGTTGGATTCCACAAAGCACGTTGACCAGAGGAGTATTGGTACAGATAATATATTCCATTACAAGGACCGTTGATAAATGAGCGGTACATAGGCATCCTATGCAACTCTTCCACAGCTAAAACTCGAGGAGTTCCATCCAACAAAAGCTCAAACAACACAATCTCATTTTGGGAAACATAACGCTGGACTAGGAGACACCCACCCCCATCCACATTGTTACTGTTATTGCAGTAGTTTCTCAGATGTTGTGATATGAAATTAGAACTGGAAATTATTGAATACCACGATTTGCATACACTCTTGTACTGCAACAATTCTTTTACTTGCAGCCATGAAAGAATCTCTGTGATCATGCTTTCAGGCAAATGGTGTGCATTCTCCATTAAGTTTGCCATTAACCTCACTTTTTGTTTTTTACTTCTGAAAAAAGGAAGCAAAAGAAAACTTGTCAATGGAGAAGTATAGAAAAGCAAAGTAGAAGACTAGAAGATAATAATTATCCTAGAACAATATACTACGTATACAAAAAAACATACTCGGTACCTTTCTTCCAACAATTGAGTAGAAGACCTTTTCTTATGTGCCGTAGTGTAAGGCTTCAAAGAGAGAGCCATTGCTGCAACAGAAACACATGAAAACAACAACTTTAGTGGTGGAAAGAGCAGGCTTATTACTTCCAGATTCTTATGGTTATGGACGACCTTATACTAAGTACGGTGTTTATACATATTTTGAAAAAGAGCAAGAACATTTCTACATGAAGACGATTTACTTGGTCACGACTCACGACAGTGATGATCAGTTAATTTATAAATTATAATCAATCAATTCACTAATTTCTTGTACCCCACTCATTACCACTCCCTTGAAACTGATATAGAAGCAACTAGAATTACTATTCATTCAAATATCAATTGCCCTTGAGAACGAAAGCAACATTTCTGGATTACAGTTCAAATATCCATCAATCAATTCATTACCAAATCAATTCTTACTTTACTTCGACTTTATCAACTCATTATCAACCACATAGTTATTTTTTTAAAAAACCACAACACTCTCTTCCATCCCAATATTAGGGGGACTGAAGGAGAATTAGTTTTATTGTTGTCCTTGTTTTGGTTATCACTTTTGTCAATATTATTAGTATTATTATTACTCTATATTTATTATTATTATTACTATTATAATAATAATAATAATTATTATTATATGTATATTATTATAGATATAAATCAAATGTTCTTTCTCTTAATATTAAAAATAATAATCACATTATCCTATGTTATTTTTGCTCGTGTCTTTCATAATAAGTACGTAGTAATTAATTATGAACATTATCATTATTATCAATTGTCGAATGTTTTTATATATAAGACTATAAGACTATATGTTGTTGTGATCATCATCATTATCAATCGACCACAAAACTTTCTCATCAAGTTTAGATCAAATTCGATAAACAGATTGAGATCCAATTATTCGAATCAGATTACAAAGTTTCAAACTAAATCAGATGAAAAGACACTGAATCTGATCAAATGTGTCACGCGAACGAAAGAACTTGTTAAGTATCGAAAAACGGGCCGGGGTCTATGTTTAAAAGACTGTTGCTTTTCATTGTAGTAAATTAACAGTAATATTGAAACAAAATATTCCCTTTTGAAAATATTCGCACCAATAATCTCAACTCGCTAATCACTTCGCAAAAATGATCCTGAGCTTAAAGGTGTTAACTTTTAATTACTTTTACATGTTTAAATAAAGTGAAAATTTTAAAGCATTAAAAATATATACATACTATTTGATTTAAGGATATTTAATATTCTTTGCACCAATATTCCTTTTATCAGATTGACCTTTTAGGATGGAATCTCAAATCTTAACATGTTATCAGAGCCAGTTTGATCCATGGTGTGGACCAGTAGACCACCTCATGAAAAATAATGACACGGTTATAAAAAAGACAATGACGAACCGACGAAAAAATAAATGTCGCACGCGTCTGGGTCGTGAGGAGGGGTGTTCAAGTCCCACCCTGGAAATCCATAAAGCAATAAAGTGCTATATTAAAATCTGAGATACTCCTATCAGGTTGACCTGATGAAACCCTAAATCTTAACATATATTGATACACACAAAAATTGTTTATGTTAAGATTGGTCCAAATCATTATTTCCAAATCATGTCAAAAGTAGTGACTAGAAACTAAAAATAAGGAAAAACACAACCATTTTTTAATCTTCAACCCCAAGGTTCCTAAGCTCTGATCCTATAAAACATATGAAAAATTGAACATCAATGTGAGTCAACGAGTCCTAACAGTGATAGACCTTATGCTCATACGCACCACAACGAACTCATGAGTTGTAATGTCCGCACAAGTGCAAGATCATTACGGGTTTTGGTTATTGTCCAAACTTTCATACCGCTCTACCGGTTACCGGTTGAGCTACCATGTGTGTCTAAAAAACATGTATATATGCATGGTATGCATGCGTGAAGCATAAAAGTTTCTGGCCGGGCAGGTCATCGCTCTAATGAGTTAAATGACAATTCGTGGCAAGGGGTGAAAAGAGAGTATTATGGGCCTGGCAGATACCATAGGGTCGCTCATCCATCTACTGATCTACATAAACGAAAAGTAGCGCTGTATATTTACATTACTTTGTCGTTCTGTTATGTGAAAGCAGAGTGTAGCCCTACCCTATATCTAGTTAATCAGCACGGGGATTAATAAGGATTAGTTTGATCCATAAGAGAATTAATAGGGATGAGCTTGATCGGTACGAGGATTAATAGGGATTAATAAAGAATAAAACTATGTGATTGAGACAAAATCCACGGGACAACTAAAAAGGAAAAGTTAGAGAAAGTTTAAGGAGTATAAACAAGATCAAAAGGGGTACGGACGTACGTGATCGGCGAGGCGAAAAATCAAAGTTTACGCAGCTTATGATCCGATGATAAAAACCCTAACAAATACGGACTAAGTACTACGGAGTAATTATTAGTTATTCAAAAGGTCCAATTATAGTGGGGGACTTGGGGTTTATATAGAGAGAGTGAGAGAGAGGTTTACTCATAAAGGAGCGATTTATAAAGGGACTGACCGGTTTATAAATTCCAAATTAACATAGTTAAGTACTTAAGTATATATGTTATTTTTCTTTCCAAATTCGATGCACATATCTTTCTTGAGATGGAAATTAATTAGTTCATCAAAGTCATGTAGCTGCTGAATATTGATTGACAGACCTTACTAGTTTAATAAATACAAGGGACAAGGGTCAGATAGGGCCTCGAACTTGAAAAAAAATGTCAAATAAGGCCATATTTAGGATGCTCTGTCCGGCCGACGCCATTTGGGGTGGTTCCCGGTGGAATTTTTTGATGAATTTTTTTGAGAATCTTATTCATTAAGTCTAGTTTACTCATATTAAATTTGAACTAACAATTCAATCAGGAAGGCATTCAAATGAATTCATGAAGATAACTGCGCTTTTAACGGCACAGTTATCTTCAAGAATGCATTTGAATGCCTTCCCGATTACAGTTTTAGTTCAAATTTGATATGAGTAAACTAGACTTAATGAATAAGATTCTCAAAAAAATTCATCAAAAAATTCCACCGGGAACCACCCCAAATGGGGTCGGCCGGACAGAGCATCCTAAATATGGCCTTATTTGACATTTTTTTTCAAGTTCGTGGCCCTATCTGACCCTTATCCCTAAATACAAAGTATATGGACAGTGAGGTGCATATCTAGATTTGTAGGAATAGAAAGCCTCTTGGGAGTAGGAAACAATAAGACTACTAGAACTATGATAAAGTGATAACTCTATCTCTACTAAAATTATTATTCTACCAAAACTGTGATAAACTATATTACTAATTTAACAAACTTCACATTATGTGTTTTTTTCAGGTATGGGAGCAGTCGTGGGAAACTGGGAATTATGTTTTTTGTGTCCCGAGATTGTTAAGGCCGATGATATATAATCTATCTCAAGTTCTCTATATTTCAGTTTTGGATTTATTTTAAGCTAGTAATGAATATCATTGATCATGTAAACCTTTGGTGGTGTTGTTGGGAATTTATCAGTGGTTATGTTGTTGATTTTTGGAAGTTTTTTGAATGCTTGGAAGTTAGATATATGAATTTATGGACTATACTTTTGAATTTTGGAACTACATAAGCTTTTACTTCTTTTAAGACATTTAAAGAGGAACCGAAAAACCCGGACCGGACCAACCCGCTTCAAACGGGTCGGGTAAGATCCGGTTCCTGTTTTGAAAATGGCAATACCCGGACCGGACCGACCCGCATAATGGAACCGGCGGTTCCATTTTATTTTGCATTACCCGCCCGACCAGGCCCGTGCCCAGCCCTACAACCTGCCACTTGCGGACTTCCCGTTCGGGCTCCCCGATGGACCAGGTTGTTGTTATCGCCATTTTTTCCAAGTTGGAGAAGTGTACTGTCCAGTAGGGGTGGGCACGGTTGGTTAACCGTATTTTGGTTAACCAATTTATGGTTAACCGAGATTGCGGTCTATATGTTTATAATATCATTAACTGTACCATAATGATGGTTAACGGAGTAATAATTAACCGTGATATAGGTTAACCATTAATCGGTTAACCAAAAAACCGTTCGTGTTAACTGTTAAGAGACTCTAATAACCTGGGTTTCATCATTTATACTTTATACGGAGTGGAGAAGCAAACTGGGTAGCAGCCTTCCCGTATACAATAAACAGTCCACATGCACAGTCCACATGATGATCCATCCAGAGGCTTGCTTATTGTTGTTCGTTTAGCAATTAATACGTACAAGAGTGCATTTGTACTTTTCAATTATTAATTCATTTAGCAATTCTTGTGCATAACCATCTGACTCACGTTAGTCACGTAAAATTGCTTTGTATTTACTTTCCAGTAAATGGACAAAACACTATCGGTTAAGGCTGATTGTGATATAAATTTGGAATAATATTTAAACTTTGCATTATCGGTTAACCGGCGGTATTTAATTTTAATACCATAACCGTACCGTGAACCGATTATTATTTCGATTGATTAACCGTACCACAAGTCTTTAAAAACGCGGTACGGTTAACCAAAAAAACACCAGGTTTTCGGTTATTTACCACGGTTACGCGGTTACAGATTTTTACGCCCACCCCTACTGTCTGGGATATGTCGAACGGTGTTTTCCTCGATGATTAGGATCCCGTTCGGGATCCCATAACTTTGTGTGGTATCCCTTCTGGGGTTGCCTCTTTCACTTGGCCTTGGCTGTTCTGGACTGGGTACTTGGGCTTCGGCCCAATACCCCAACAACTAACTATTGTATTTCTACATGTAATTTAATTCATTAATATAATTAAGCTAAGTGTTCCTAGTTCCATTGCATAACCAAAGCCATTCAAATTGTGGTAGATCACTATGATGACAACAATGGCGAGCTCCGATGATGAAGATGAACATATAGATCTATAGGGGTGACGTGCACTTTGTCGTGGTGTGCACTCAAAATAATAATACAATACGACACTAATACGTAGTATAGTGTAGTAAGGTTCGTATCCACAGGGAAAGGAATACTTCTCTCTTTATAAACTAGTAACAAGGGGGGGGGGTTAGGTTTGAGTGATTTAATTAAAATTAAACACGAAGATTAACGAGTTATATGATTTAATTAATGAGAAGAATACTTGGCTTTGCTTTTATCCACTTAATGAAATGTTCGTCGATCCCGGTTATATCTTTAACTATCTTCCTCTCGAATACTCAATCGAGGAGTATATCCAGTTCATCGAGGGTAGTTATTAATAACGAGAAGCGTTCATTAACAAAACTTACTATCGAGTCAATATAGAACAAGCGCCGTATATTAACTTGATAGTAGCAATAAACTTAAGATGAAAACGATTGATATTGATAACCTCAACACAAGCGGTTTATTGGTTTAATCAATATAATTAATTCCCCTTAGATTATTAACCATGAGAAGCATGCATTAGCAATCCAAGTTTACTACCATTGAAAGAACCGAATTAATAACAAGCGTATTAACCGATTGATTCTAGTAATAATTAATATATAGAACAAGACTAGTTGATATTTTAAGTGATGCTCAATATATTAATATGGGATATGAATAGGAAGTAATTAATATTCAAGGAAGAAGATTAAAGAAAATAACTCACAACTTACAAATCATTAAGCTTCAAAGTAGCAAAACCAAGATGGAAGAGTTTAGCTCCTCATTTGGAGACTAAACATGATAAAAATATAAAGAAAGAACTTGTCTAAACTGAGCTTAGAAGTATATAGGAATTGGTTATTTTATTGTGAAGGAAAGGGGTGTATTTATAGGCTTTTGGGAGCTGCAGGGTCTGATACCCGACCGGGTATATGGGATACCCGACCGGGTATCTCAGAAAATTGCCCAGAAAGTCACTTTTCTGGGCATACCCGATCGGGTAATGGTATATACCCGATCGGGTATGTGACAAATCTTTATGAAAATTTGCTCCCACGATCATTTGTCTTCGGATTTGATTTGGACAGTCGAATCAAGCAATTACCCGATCGGGTATAGGCAATACCCGACCGGGTACATGAGTATTTTTTCCAAATCGAAATCTTTCTTGTCTCCTTGCACTTTCCTTGATCTTTTAAGGTCCAATCTTGATCCCTTAGATGATCTTTGACCTGTTTAGCTCAGAAAAATCCTAATCTAACTAAATTACAAATAAAAAATGAAAATAAAGTATTACACCAAAAGTGTGTAATTTCCACAACTAGAACTAAAAAAACTAGTTAAAAATAAAAACATACAATCGGAAATTTCATGAATATCAAGGGGCGATATAGGTGAAAATTATGACGATTTGTAGTGGCGTTTCGGATTTAAAAGTTTATGGACATTTTCAAAGTCTATAAACTTATCTATGGATTTAAAAGTTAATAGAATTCATTCATAAAAAATGTATGGATTTAAAAGTCCATTGACATTTTTAAAAGTTCATATATTATAAAAAAGTCCACCACAATCTATATTCAATACACCGGCCCCTACGTATTAATTTTTTTGATAAGTAAAAATTATTATAATAATACAAATTTGTTGTTAATCTATAATACAAACATTTTGGACTAGGCTTGTGTAATACAGAGTATTTCTTTGCTAAAAATTAACATCAGGTAGCAAAATAATTTGTTCTAGAGTCTACAATAATTCCTGAAAACTCCAACAAAGAAGCACCTTTCATAACTCAAATTCATAACTAAAAAGAAATATAAAATAATCTCATTCTTTTGTACATCTAGAAGTGCTTTATTCTTTAGTTTTTGCATTTTTGGTAAAGCTTGATACATGGTTATTTACCAATGTAGACATTGTTGAATATTTAAAGTAAATACTCTTTTCCTTTCATAAAGTTCTTCTCACTTACATTTTTGGAATGTTTCAAAAAATTCTTCACATTTTGTTAAAAAAGTTTTGTGTGATTAATATAACATTCATCTAATGTTTTTTACTCAATAATTACCATAAATTCTCACTTTATTTTCACTTTTTAAAAATATAATCCAAGTCCAACCGAGAAAAATAGATAGCACAAATGCTAAAGCTACCCCATTTTACCCCCCCCCCCCCCCACATGTTTGTGGTTCACAAAAACACTTCATTAAAATGGAGCAACTAATTTGTACACAGACATTTGGACAGAAAGTCCTGCCCTCTTTCAAATGAATTTTGGGGTACCTATAGAATTTTTGTTAATTTAATTGGGTTGGGTTTTTGTGAGCCACAAACATAGGGTTGGGTACAAAATGGGATACCTCTAGCATTTCTCATCCAGACAACGCATAGACCATAATTGTTGTTACATACTGGAGCTATTGAGCTAAATGCTAATGTATGTTTTTTCAAGCTTATATGAACAGTGTGAACTCATACATGCCAGACTATGTATAAAGAAGGGACTAAAGGAGGAAAGATATAAGATATTGTTCGTACTAGCTACCATATAAGCACATTCAAGCTTTGATAATGCGCGAGCCATCAGCTTTTATCATAATGCCGCATGATGAAAGCTTTAAACAGCTTTTACCATATTGTTGTAGTGATATCTACTACAACAATTTCTCTGTTGCCTTAATTTATCTTCTGTTCCGATCCACAAAGAAAACACGTACAAGCAATAGCAAGGGAGTCATGATTGAAAAGAACGATTAATGAATTAATGACTAATTTTTTTTTTGTTTTATTGAATGAAACCAGACTTTCCATGTACTCGAAAAAACCTTCACAAAACATAGGGCATGGGAACTCACGCTCACTTGCTTCTTCTGACTCGAGATCAAATACAACTACCTTACCCGATTTTTTGAGTATTAGCCTGTTGCCCTTCCATATGCCAAGAGGTTGATAACAATCAAAGAAAGGTCCCACACTTAACTTTTTGGTCCAATAGAACCCCTCATCCCATGTCCAAACATCACAAAACTTCTCATTCTCATGAAGAGACAAAAAGGCAAGAGAATCATCACACACCTAGACAATTTGAACTGGGTTGTGCATAGTTAGCCATGTCAAAAGATATGATCACTTCATCTGAAAAACATTGGTTCGCTCCGTACAAATAGCAACATCCATTCACATAAATGTAGCATCTATTCATTTCCAAACAGTAATATTTAGTAAGATCTCCACAGTATTTCCAAGAATCTGTCCTTAAGGAGTAGACCAGGACATATTGGGGTTGCCTCGTGTAATCACTTTCATCATCATCATTGGTAGCCAGACAACGCCGCTCTTTGATAACAACCACCTTATAATCGTCGTTTGTAGCAGGATCCAGCCCAAAACCATAAACTTCATACTGATAGCCTCTAACTATGGAATACTTGGAAACTATTTCTGGCAAGACCTTCAGTTCATTGATAGCTGGATTCCACAAAGCCCGACAACCAAAGTAATTGTGGTACAAATAATATATTCCATCACAAGGACCGTAGATAAATGAGCCATAATGAGGCATGCCATATGTTTAAGCAAAATATTGATAAGCTAAAACTAATTAAAAATAAATTTATATGAAGAATGGGCTTCAAACAAGAATAAAGAAGAAGATGACAAGAGAGTGAACAAGAATGAAAACTTGTGTATTATTCGAATGTTTCAGCTGCCCTGATTACAATGAGGCTATGTTATTTATAGGAAATGTAATTAAAGCCCTAATGATGATTTTTTACGTTACTGATGGGTTCGCCGCGTTTTATGACGAATTCAAATCTGTCATAAAGGCCGGTCAATTACAATTAATATCATATTAAGGAGGCTAATAATACATAAATACGTTACAATAATTGTCATTGGGCCCTGTGAATGCTCCACCAGCTCCAGTTGTCCGTTACTGACGGTTCGACTTGACAGTTCGGACCCGACGGTTTCACAACTCGTCATTAATGCTAGCCAGCTCAAAATAAGTAACCTCTTGCCTTAATATCGTTGCTAACTCCAATAATAAACACAAATCCGTTACAACAACCATCATTAAGCCTCATTAACTTTTGTGATCAACTCTCTTTAATGCAAAATATGTTGCCAAATAATTGCACTAACAATTGCCCCCTACCGAGAAGTTGGCGCGTACAATGCATGGACGGATCATTAAGCGGTAACTTGTCGAAATTTTGAAAGAGCAACACTTCACCTCTTGGTTCATTGCGTCTATCGACTCATCAATGACTTGTTGGGACATGTTGACGACTTCGGTTGATGAAACGTTTCCGTCTTTCTTCGGAATAAACGTCGATCGAATCCGTCTCCTCAACTAAAACAAGGAAAACTGAAAGCTGACATGTTATCTTCTCTCCTCCAAAATTGTCTTGATGACTCGGTGACAGAAATTTTGCAACATCTTTCACATTGATGTCGACACTTCATCTAGTGAAGGAAACATCATCCGTCGTTGAAGACAACGAGATGTGTTGTGTGAACTTGGTCCATATCCTGCAAAAACTTTAAATAGCATTATGTTTGTCGTTTGTATTGTCTCCTTATGTTGGAGCGTGTGCTTTCGTTGTGTAGTTCTGTATTTTTTGATGTACGTGTGTTGTCATATACGTTTCGGTTGAACGTGCGTTGTCATATATGTTTTGGTTGCATGTGCGTTGTCATATATGTTTGTAGGTTTTGGCCAAAAATATATATGTTGTAAGGGCCGGCTGGGACTGTTATCCATGATCTTCTCATGGGCAGCCCAACCCTTTCCCATTTGATGTTTGATACACGTGTAATTTCCGTGTATATGTTTACATTTTTAGTTTGTTTTGGTTGTTTAAATACTTCGGAAATTACACACTTTTGGTGTAATAGTTTAGTTTGTTAAAATCTTGTAAATTATTTAGATTAGGTTTATTCTAAGCTCAAACAGGTCTACCATCACTCAAAGGACAGTTGGTGAACCCCAAAAGTGGAAGGAAGTTGCAAAATCACAAGACAAAAAGGGAAAATCTTGATTTCGATCTATACTCGGTCGCGTATTACCTATACTCGATCGGGTATAAGGTTGAAACTTCAAATCGGATCGGATCCAAAGACAAAGGAACATGCCGGGAAGATTTTGACCACGATTCAGTGTCTATACTCGATCGGGTAGACCGACATACCCGATCGAGTATTCCTTTGAGTTTAAACCTGAAATCGGTCGAGTATGGATCGAATATCACTTTCTACACATACTCGACCGAGTATGAACATATACTCGATCGAGTACGCATTTGATTTTTAAGCCAAAATCGATCGAGTATACCTCGAATCTGGTATTTCACACATACTCGATCGGGTACTATGTATATACCCGATCGAGTACCCGAGTCCCATCCCAAAAGCCTATAAATACACCTCCTTTCCTTCACAATTCATTCACCAATTCTTTTATACTCTTAATCTCAGTTTAGAATAGCATTTCTTTATATTTCTTTTAGCATGTTTAGTCTCCAAATGAGGAGCTAAACTTCCATTTCTTGGTGTTGCTCTTAAGCTTGTTGATTATTAAAGTTGTGAGTTATTTTCTTAACTTCTTTCCTTGAATATTAATTCTTCCTTTAAATACTATTTCTATATCAATATTGGAGAGTGTTGCTAAGATGACAATTAGTTAACATCTCGACATTGGTCTTAGTAATAGCTATTCCTTCCTCTATGTTAATATTGGGGAGTGTTACTAAGATGACAATTAGTTAACATCTTGATATTAACTTTAGTAGGATTCATTTTCTTTAATATTCTTCCTTGAGTATTAATTAATCCCTATTCATATTTCATATTAATATTTTGAATATTACTTAAAGGATCAACTAGTTTTGTTTCACATATTAATTATTACTAGAAACGATCAACGAACCGATGGTTAATCGTTGATAGTTTCACAAGTAAGTAACTTCGGTTTATTAATGCATGGTCGTGGTTAATTAACTTAAGAGGGATTAATTTTGTTGGTTAAACCAAAACCGTTGTGTTAAGGTTATCAATCTCAATTGATTTCATCAAGGAGTTAAAAGATTAAATGCTACTATCAAGTTAGTATATGGCGTTGTTCTATACTTGATTAATAGTAAGGGTTATTAATGAACGGTCGTTGTTAATAACTATCCTCGATGAATTGGATATACTCCTCGATTGAGTATTCGAGAGGAGATAAGTTATAGATATAACAGTGATCGACTAAAATATATCAACAAGTGGAAAGTAGCAATGCCAAGTCCCTGTTATCTTTGAATTAAAACTCATATAACTCGTTCATCTTCGTGTTTAATTTTAATCAAGTCACTCAATCAAAACCCCCCTTTATTTACTAGTTATATAAAAAGAGAGTTATTCCTTCCCCTGTGGATACGAACTCTACTTCACTATACTTCGTATTAGTGCTAGTATTGAATTATTTTGAGTGCACACACGACAAAGTGCACGTCAATGTTAGTGTATAATATGTAACTGGCATGAGCATGGTTGAAATCTTAGTTGCCTCAGTAATTGCTCGGTCTTATGCTTCGAGATAGTCCTGCATCCATTAAAAACCGTCAAAGTTGGCCGTTGGCTTTGGACCAACGGCCCTCCGATGGTTAAGTCAGTAAAAGCAATGAATCTATCTTGAAGCGGAAATGTATACTTTACACTGAATACGTCACAACTTGCTCTAAACAAGATGACCACAGAATGATTCCATAAAGGATCCAAAATTTATTGAACTAAAGTGTAGAAATGAGATAAGTTAATCATGTACAAAATAATTCAAAGGAAAATGCATAGATTATTAAAGAAACAAAAATTTAACTAGACTCAATCTATTCTAAATCATTCACTCAGATTTATAAATGATATGAGATTTTTCAGATTAAACTCACCGATCTATCAAGGATCAAATTAGAAAGTAAGACAAGACCTCAAAGTGACGTACAGACTGATCATGACGCTTTGACAGATCCGTCGTACCCGATACGTCATGGACTTCTTGTGCGACGTATCAAAGAGACTTACCTGGCGCCTCATTTGGTTTCCTGCACTCAAAACGTCGTTAGGATTGGTCGTTGGCCTTAAGCCAACGGCCCTCCGACGATTAAGTTAGTGATCGTTTTCAGGTAAAGGAAAGTAATGAATTTAGCACTTGTATACAAAATTAAACACATATCTTACATTAGACCACGTCTATCGCCAGACAATATGCCCCCCATCCGATGATTAAAATCGTCTCCTTACCAAGGTGACTTGTCATGGAAGTGACTTGTTGCGAGGAGGCTCACCGCGAAAGTGACCCATCACAGAAGTGACTCGTCACGGAAATGACTCATCACGGAAATGACTCGTCACACAAATGATTCGTCATGAAAGTGATTCGTCATGAAAGTGATTCGTCACAGAAGTGAGTCGTCACGAAAGTGATTCATCATAGAAATGAAGACAATATGCAAAAGAAAGCAATAAACTGAAAACGAAACAACTTTAAGGGTACCGTGTTGCAGCACTTTAGAATCTGTCTATCATCGGACGATATGACGACTCGTCATGGAATGACGACTCGTTCCTCGGGTCTTGAATAAGGTTTCCCAGACTTGTAATCATGTCTCCCAGGAGATTCTGATTTCCCGTGCCCCCAATCATGCTCAACATGTCCAAGACGAGATCGTAAGTCTTCTTCTAGGCGGATGAAAGCCAACACCTTCGCTTGGACATCTTCGAAGGATCGAAGAGAGTATTTCGTCAGTTCGCGGTACAGCTCTGAATCGTCGATCAAACCTCTTCGGAATGCCTCAATTGCCGTTGGTATGTCACACCTTGGAATTGACACTTTTTCTTTGTTGAAACGATGAAGATAGTCCCTCAATGATTCGCCTCGTCACTGAACAACTCTGTATAGATCACTTGTTTGTTTCTCCAAAACGCGACTACTTGCGAATTGCTGATTAAACAAGTCGACGAGCTCTACAAATGAATTGATATCCATTTGGCAAGTTGACGAACCAGGTTAGTGCCGGTCCTGAAAGTGTTGTCCAAATCCTCTGCACATGCATGCTTCCCTTTGGTCTGGACGAAGTGATATGGCCATCATGTGTTGTTTGTATTGGGCAACATGTTCCACCGGGTCGGACGTACCATCGAACATCTTCATGGAAGGGGCGACGAACTTACTGGGTATCTCGACTTCGGTAATCCGTTTGCTGAATGGAGACTCTGCGTAACACGTCCTTGATGCTCTGTCCAAGGGTGGGGGTACCCCTGGCAATCCGTTGATCTTATCTTGCATCTGACGCATTTGTTCAATCATCATGGACATTTGATCTGCTATGACCGGGTGAATTGGCACTGGAGTCGAAGTCGCTGGTCCGACCATTTGGGTGACTTCAGGTCGGGTCGGTGACAAAATGAATATTATCTCAGGGCGTCGTTCAGGTAATGTAGGCACTGATGTAATGACAGGTCTGCCAAGGCGTTGTGTCTGAGGCTCCAGAAATGACACACTAGGCCTGTTACATCTGGCATCCCTCGTGAAGCTTGACAGATTGCGATCCCCGTAGATTCTGCTTCTAAAGTGAGGAGTTGACGGTTTTGCCGAGACTGAGGTCATACCTGTTGAAGACATGAAATTGGACGGACTGGGATCCCCACAAGTTCTGCTCCTGTGACGAGGAATCGAAGTCATCATAGGCATGCTCTGGGTCGTCGAATATAAGCCCGATCCGTTTTTCCTGACCCAAAGAGGTTTCGGGAATAAACACACCGGGATGTTGGCTAGAGGCGTGGTTGCTGGCACGAGGGACGTGTAGGGAATGACTTGCGAGATGACCGTAGAGTATGGCTCTCCGGTCGGTGTTGGTGACAGACCCAGGGTAAGAGATACTGGATCCGTCGATGTCGCCGGTGGATCCGTCGGTGGTGGGGAGAAACCGAGATCTAACCTTGTTACAGCAGTCATTGTGTCATTCCTCCAATTGAGCCTTGAATTCGAGGCTATTGACACTGCGGATTGTACCTGAGACCGAAGTACATCGTTCTCTCGTTGAAGATGGGCCATTTTCTCCGCCACCTCACGCCGGAATTCCTCTCGGATCGTCTCTAGCTGCTCATGGAATTCAATCAACAATTGATTTAATCCTGCCATATCTGAACTCTTTTTTGCACGATGCCCCACGGTGGGCGCCAAATTGTTTAAGCAAAATATTGATAAGCTAAAACTAATTAAAAATAAATTTACATGAAGAATGAGCTTCGAACAAGAATAAAGAAGAAGATGACAAGAGAGTGAACAAGAATGAAAACTTGTGTATTATTCGAATGTTTCAGCTGCCCTGATTACAATGAGGCTATGTTATTTATAGGAAATGTAACTAAAGCCCTAATGATGATTTTTTACGTTACTGACGGGTTCGCCGCGTTTTATGACGAATTCAAATCTGTCATAAAGGCCGGTCAATTACAATTAATATCATATTAAGGAGGCTAATAATACATAAATACGTTACAATAATTGTCATTGGGCCCTGTGAATGCTCCACCAGCTCCAGTTGTCCGTTACTGACGGTTCGACTTGACGGTTCGGACCCGACGGTTTCACAACTCGTCATTAATGCTAGCCAGCTCAAAATAAGTAACCTCTTGCCTTAATATCGTTGCTAACTCCAATAATAAACACAAATCCGTTACAACAGCCATCATTAAGCCTCATTAACTTTTGTGATCAACTCTCTTTAATGCAAAATATGTTGCCAAATAATTGCACTAACACCATACAACACTTCATCAGCTAAAACTCGGGGAGTTCGATCCAGAAACAACTCAAACACCTGGAGTTCAGCTTGAGCAACATAACGCTGGATTAGAAGACACCCGTTCCAAACCTGATTGTTGCCTCTATGATAATAGTTTTTCAGATGTTTCGATATGAAATAAGGACTTGATATTATAGCATGCCATGTTTTATTCACACTCTTGTATTGTAGCAGTTCTTTTACTGGCAGCCATGAGAGAACCTCTATGATCAAGCTTTCAGGCAAATGAACTGCCGTCTCTATTCTGATTGCCATTGACCTTTCTTTTTGTTCTCTACTTCTGAGAAAAAAGAAAATGAAAAAATTGATCTCTAAAAAAGCACAAAGAATGGAAAGCAAATGAAAACGCAAGGTATCCCACAACAATTGATACAGAAAGAACTCACCTTTCTTTCAAAAGTTGAGTAAAACGGCTATTCTGTTCTGTCCATGTATAACGTTGTAAGGACAAAGCCATTGCTGCAAGCCTGCAACATAAACACACAATAAATCAATACAAGTAGTAATAACAGAGTACTGCACAACAAATCAACAACCACCTTGTCCTTAAGGTGGGTGATAGGAATCAGCCATGATTTTCCACTTGCAATTCATTCTTGCACCTCTTCCTTCCCAATACCTCACAGATTTCTGAACCCATGGTTTCCGCATGGTGTTTGAGTCGGACAAATTAGTTTTGTCCAAGTCGGGAATGTATGTGGGCAAAGGGTATGCATATGACGGGCTGTTTAAGCTCAATGTAACGACTATTATTATTAATAATAATAAAATCTCTTCTACTTACTTGTTTGAGTCTTCCAATGTGTGGCATGGTAGACTAGGACATGTTAATTTTAATTCTATACGTAGATTAATTAACATGGAACACATTCCTAAATTCACAATTGATGTGAAGCACAGATGTGATATTTGTGTTGAGGCAAAACTAACGAAAACGTCTTTCAAATCGGTTGAAAGAAAAACGGAACCACTAGAATTAATTCATAGTGACGTTTGTGATTTTAAATCAATACAAACACGTGGCGGTAATAAATATTTTATTACTTTTATCGATGATAACACTCGCTATAGCTATGTTTATTTGTTGAAAAATAAACACGAAGCAATCGATAAATTCATTCTTTATAAAAATGAAGTGGAGAACCAACTTAATCGACGGATTAAAACGGTTAGGAGTGATCGATGTGGTGAGTATGAAGCACCAATTGGTGACTTTTGCGCCAGTGTGGGTATAGTACACGAACGTACCGCACCCTATTCACCTTAATCAAATGGTGTTGCCGAACGAAAGAATCGCACATTGAAGGATATGATGAATGCGATGATAGTAAGTTCGGGCCTGCCACAAAATATGTGAATGCGATGACAAGCAATTACCTTTTAAATAAGATTCCCCGGAAAAAATATGATAAAACTCCAGACGAGTTGTGGAAAGGCAGACGGCCTTCCTATCAATATTTAAAAGTGTGGGGGTGTCTTGCTAAGGTGCTTGTACCAACACCTAAGAAAATAAAAATAGCTCCAAAAACGGTGGATTGTATTTTTATTGGATATGCACAAAATAGTAGTGCTTATCGGTTTTTAGTGTACGATTCGAGTAATCCGGATGTACATAAAAACACAATAATTGAGTCAAGGAATGCATCATTCTTTGAAGACGTATTTTCATGCAAGTCCAACGATGGACCTAGCACGTCAAAACGAACGTTTGACGTAGCTATGGAAAATACTAGCGAGAGATCCGGTGAAGAAGCCGAACCCCGACGTAGCAAACGTGCTAGAGTTGAAAAATCCTTCGGACCGGATTTTCTAACATACTTGGTAGAATTCGATTCGAATATTCTAACTTGTATGGTAGAAAATGAACCGGATTTTCTAACATTTTTGGTAGAAAATGAACCACGGACTTATACGGAAGCCGTGAACCGGATTTTCTAACATTTTCTATAGCAACGATGTTTTCCATAGCCGTCTTCATCTCCCGTTCGAATTTATCTATGCAAGCCTCCATTTCTGGTGTCCAGTCTTCTTTCATCTCTCCAGTCAGTTGATGATGTTGATCGATCGATTCAGACGCCAGGAAGGAGTGCTCTGATACCAATGTTAGGAACCTGGTAATGGTTCAGTCCAAAAGTAATGGAAGAACACACAGATCTGATAAAATGATAAGGGAATGATGTTTATTGATGAAGAAGGTAAACCGTAGGTAACAAGGGACAGGGACTTCTTAGGCAACAAGGCAACACTCAATATCCAAATAATAGTCTACCTACAATAGCTATTCCCCCTTCTATTTATAGCCAATATCCACATAAGGATATGCCAACTATTACTATTAACCCCTTCTCTTCTAAATATACTACTACAAGTACCCTTACTAATATTATTATTATTGCTTATTAATACCTACTAAACCCAGATTCCTATCAGATAAGATTGCTTTCAGAAGATCCTATGTTACTTTGGTAAATCCAAGAGTAAAGACAGTTTACGTATCTTTTCCCTTAAAAACAATACTCTATGTCTATACAAATGATGTCATTTTCAAAAGATAAAACTATACAAGGACAAAATAATAGCATTATCACAGTTTGCCACCTCTAACAAATTGAGGCCCATAATGATAGGATCTCAGATTTCTTAACAGTAATTTGATTATTATTACTGATATCAACTGCAGAAAGAAAAAGAAATACAATTGAGGCACTTCGAGAGGCACTCACTCTCCAAAACCCAAGTCCCGATTCTAAAATCTGCCTACCTTCTTATTTCCCCCTCCCTACTATTTATACTTACTTATGGGTCAGCCCAATATTAACTAATACCTAGCCCATGACCCTTTACTACAATATCACAATTATTTAATATACTTCTATTATTATTAGTATTATTATACTAATGGGTTCCTATCATATCTCCCCCCTTGAAAAACCACCATGTCCTCAAGGTGGGTGATAGGAACCGGCCTGGACTTTCATCTTTATCTTCATCTTTGCGCCTCTACCTTCCCAGTACCTCACTGAATTCCGAATTGTGAACTTCAGTAGCTTCACTATTAGTCCTCTCAGTATTGCATATCTCACAGCTTTCAACCTCTCCCTTGAAGGCTGCTCCTTGCTGAAAGACTTATACAGAACTTCATTCGCACTCATATCAAGAGAAGGTTCAAGTGTATTTGAATCTTTGTGCTGTGTTTCTCCTTCGGCAATAGTTAACTGTTTTGATATTGCTGCAAACAGACTTCCCAGAAACAATCCATCATCCTCCATAATCAGTGTGTCCATGTTTTTGATAAGTTGCAGAAACTTGTGACTATGGGAACTCCAAGTTTTGGCATCTTTCAACCATGTGTGGACCTGCTGCTCTGTCATCTGCAAAAGAATGATGACACAATATGCCAACCCCCTATAGTTGTGTAATTTTAACTTCACAAACCTCTTGCTGCCATACAATGTTAACATGAACTCCCATAAATTTTCTAATAGCGTTTCTTTTGCTTGTGAAACATGTTGGTCTCTGACAAGAACTGTTTTATCTCCATTTGGGGTTCCAATAGCTGAAAACGGTTGAATAGTTTGGAAAGGATTCCAGTACATCACCCCACCACCACCAGAATCCACATAATTATTGGACAATTTTGCTAATTGATAAACAACCTGTAGTTGATCCCCGTTAGCAGCTCCTATCAAATACTTGCTAGCTAGCTTCAAGTCCCTTTTAATCCACATATTCCCAAGGTTGTAGAACCCCCAAGGCTCATCATTATCAGCACCCTTCTCCACTGTACCCACTTGTACACCCTTCTTATTCACAAACATCCCTTCTTTCCCGGCCTTCTTAGTTGCTGTAGTAGACATTAAATTGTACTGCCAAGGTATAGCAATTTCTTCATGGACTGCATTTATCAGATCAGCACCTAATACACCACTCCCAACCAATTCACCCTCAGGACCTTGAGTTCTATCCATAAGTGCTGCAGAGGTAATCGAGTCTCCAATATGTGAAACTGAAGTTCCCGTACCTATACAGATTTCAGGAACCACTTGGTTCTCCGATTCAGAAATATTTGAAACAGCAATTTTCTCATCAGCAACTTCATATTCCTTGATAATTGAGGATGTAGTCACCACATAAGATTTGTTCTTTCATTCCTCATCCTCATCCAAGAGCGTATCCTCAGAGAGAGGTTGCAATAGCCTCATTAGCCTGTTGACCAGCAGAGTATACAAAGCCTCCAAACCAATCTGTAATGCCTCCATCAGCCAATGCATAAAGAGAAGAAGGAAGCTCCAGCTACAAATAAAATACGACTATTATCAGTATCACCAAATCTAAAGTATGCAAAAAATATGAATATACCTCTATCCATGATCATAGGTCAGGTACATCCCTAAAATAGAAAGGTGAGAATAAAACTGCAAACAGAAATACTCACCATGTTGCCTTGCATGGTCAAAGCATTTGCTGCAGTACTAGTCATAAGCATATTTGATGATGAAAGGTCAAACAGGAAAATTAGCCATTGTCAGACTTATCCATATGTAAAATTGTAAATCAATAAAATTGTTTGAGTTGTAACTCAAACAACTCATCAAACATGAGATGAAAACTGCAAAGAGCTAGTTGAGCTAGTTTAATGCTACTAGAACCAGACCAAATCTCAAAGACGATACTAAAAAATATCTGATTCATATCATGTTGAGAAAGTTCAAGCTATACTACAAGGTTCATGAATGAATACTTGTGACTTGAATCACAAGGAATAGAGTTCATTCCATTTTATATTCCTTCACCATCACGTTCTTACAGCTTTAGTGCTTAATTTAAGACTATCTAGGTTTAGTCCCCAACGATTGAAAAAGTGCCATAAAAATTAACATGCATTTTGTACCAACTAAAGTCCATCATGACTAAGAGTCGCGCATTTGAAATAATTAAGTGAGCCAAAGACTCACTATTTTTTGGCTTGAGAATATGATGGAATAAGGCAAAATGACTCAATAAACTGTCTGCGTTTCTTTGTTATGAAGTAGAGTCTGTCCATGCAATTTTGAACGTGAATTTCACTATGGGTCATCCGGGAGACTGCGTATACGGTATATCTGACCCCCCCCCCCTAATCCCACCATAGGTGGAAGCCTTTGCGGCACTGGGGTAATGATGGTGGTGGTGATGATGATGTGACCAACATTGAACTGCACAACCTAAAATGTAAATGTGCATGCTCCAGTTTCATGACGTGGAGATATAGAATAGACTATTGAGGACTATATTAGCTTGTGTGCCCTGCCACAGCTTCTCCATCTTTAGTTTGGAGGAGGATCCTTTAAATATATGGGAATGCATATGAATGGATCATGTAAAACGAGAAGGCTTCAGTTTCAGGTACAGAAACTAAAATCTGTGTATGATTAGGAGGTTCACATCTATCATATTTTCATACAAGTTCAGTTCAATCTCCAGCATGTCTACCCAGGTTTTTATTTTTTGTAGAAACAGAAGGAATAAAAAATTAAGAATAGTACTCCGTAATAATTTCTGTATGTTGAATTGAGGGATATATACCCTATTTATAAAAAATAAAGGTGATATTATAGATTTATAGGAAAATCCGAAATAATTTTGCTAATGTCATCATACACAGAATTGCATATGGAGTACTCCCTCCGTTCTCTAACACTTGTCTCTCTTTCCATTTTGGGATATTCTCTATTATTTGTCTCCCTTTCCATTTTTGGTAAGTTTTTTCAATAAATATACCCATTTACCCTCATTCTCTTTCTTACTTTTTCATTCTCTTCCCTATTTTTTTCTTTACACACAACCCACTACACCTTTTATCCTACCCCTATTAATTTCTTCTTAAATCTTGTGCCAAAGCCTATACTCCCATCTATTAGAGAACGGAGGGAGTATAATATACTAGTAATTCCTTATATATTAATACCAAATATTTCACTTTTCATTTTTGGATTTACTTTTTATCTTCCTTTTCATACTTTCCCAATTGCTTTTCAGTTTTTCTACACTACTCTGAATTCTTACAACATTACACTTCATTCTGTGGAAAAGTTAACGAAGGGAGTCTTAACTAATTACCCTTGTGGTGAAAGGAATGCCCTAGGCATTTTGCTCATAATGTGGCAGGTGAAGTTACACAGGCATGCCTCTTAAGCGCACATTGTGGACGTGGATGAGGCATGCCTCGCACCCACCCATCTAATTTCCTTAAACTCAAATCATCAGTCTAAGGTTAATGATAATTGACAAGGGTTGAAAGTATGTGACTTTTCTTGGTAGAACATATCATTGCAGACCAGTCTGGCTGAGATTCTTTGACTGCACCACCATCATCCATACGTCGAGTGCTTAAACCTCCTCCAGCATTGCCAGCAAGCCGGCATATTTCTTTGACCTCTCTCTATCCTCTTACCAAAGTTTGCCTCTCTGCCTCAGGCTTCTGAGAGCATCTCTACCTCGAGACCCTAAGATCTCATTCCTTTTTTCTTCTTATTTATTATTTAGACATCAATACGTCTTCTTATGTCACAGTCTTGTTTCTTCTTATTTCTTGTTTGGAGTTCTCTATTCCTAGTCTTTGATTCTTAATAAAATGTAAAAAAAATACCCAATAGAATAATAAAACAAAACAAGAAACCTTAATATGGAAGAGTGCTACACTCCAATCTAGTAGAATCACGAAAAATAAGAACCGTACCAACAAAAGCTGTTGTAAACCCCTCAAGCCGGCGCGTCTTCATAAATAATCCTGGCTCTTCCGGAAGAGCCTCGCATGAAATTTTCCGCTCAACCAGTTTCCTATGCCTGACACAGTACCACGCTTTCAAAATTTAAAATTAATTTCGTCAATGCCGGGTCAGCCTACCATTAAAGGTGAAACTATGAGCGCAAAGCCGGATTGAGAATTTAGTAGCTAGACTGCCGAATTGTAAACTAACCGAGAGGAGCGGTTCTGCTTCGGTGCAGGTAATTGCAGCAGGACATTGGGATCGAACCCACGCCATGTCTGCAACCCAAACCATTCAGAGCTGTTAAGCTCATCTCTTCTGCTATTGATTGTGATTATGCAAATTGAACAACGGTCGAGCGATTGGAAAGTTGGAAACTTTTCCCTTTTTCTTTGGAAGGATTTACACTCCGTAACATGATTGTATCATGGGAGCCTCTTGGGCGCATTCATATTACAGGATGTTTTGGTGCATCTTACATTTGGCTGCATATCATTGGACATACCTTACACGTAAGTCGTTTCACTAAAAGAATAATGAAATTGCACAATGATCCCTGCATCAGAGGTATTTCTATCATTTTAGAAATCTCCTTTGTCGCACAATCGTTCTCCTTCCCTTCCCCGAGTCCTCCATTTCACCGCCAATTTCATCCCAGCTCTCAGCTCCCACCAAAATGATCCTTACATATCTGTGAAAATGAAATTGAAAGGACCCACCTCTTTCACGTTTTCTTTTTGAGCTCTCACTCTCCTACTTCTTTGCATCCATCCAACCATCTCCAGCATCAACAAAACAAACTGGTGTCTGAATTCACCTCGCGAAGACGTCGTCGAGTAAGCTCTCTTTTTCTCTATGCTTTTCTCTTCCTCCAAAAGATACCCTTTACATTCTTCCCTAATTGTTGTTCCATTGGAATTAGTTTATTTTTTAGTTTCACACTGTTATTGTTAACTTCTCGAAAAAATCATGCTCCTTAATCTTCCAGAAAATGACGAGTGTTTCCTTAACCCTTTATTTTTATTTTAGCTCATCAAGCTTTAGTGGACACGAATACCACGAAGAGCCTTCAAGCTTCAACTTTGTTTGATTTTAGGCCCATTTTAGTCTAAATGTAGCTTCTGTTTGATTTTAGGTTCTGAAATTTCACTAACACATTGACCTCCTTTTTAGTATGACAACCTGAATGAAGTCTTCAGTCTCTGCCCGTGCCTATCACTTGTTTCTTGAACTCTTCAACCTTCAAAGCCAACTCGTCTATGCTATCCTTGATGGAAGTTATTGGTCTCAGACTACTTATTTACATTGAAAGCAAATATTTCTGCAGTTGTTTTGTGCTTGTCATAGTAGTTTTTTGTGCATATTTTATTATTTTTTCTCCATTTGACTGGCAGACTGTATCTTCCTATTTAGACAACATTTTTGCATGATAGACCATTTTTTAAGCAAAAAGTACAATGTTATTGCTGCAGATTTGTTGTGCTTTTCAGAGCAATTTTTCATGTAGCAATTAAGGTGGCTTTTTGCTACAAAAAAAACAGCAAGGTATTGCGGCATATTTTTGTGTATTTCATAGAACTTCCTTGCATATTTTAAATGTTTTTCACAGTGTTATTAACAGAGAGTATCTGCTTTATTGTAGAGAATTTATGCATAACCTTGGCCGTTTTTTCCCATTTTTCATTCTATAAACCTCTCTAGGTGTCAATAGTAACTAACTAGTTGCTGAGGTAGTTTCATTTTAACAAAAAGGCTTTCTTCTTTTCATTTGAAAGTGTAGAGGGATTGTTTTGCTCGTAAAGACAACACTTCAATTGTATCATTGTATGTTACTTTAATATTTTAACATCTAATCTTCTGGTGCAGGTAGATATCGGAAATTTTGTTCATTTTAAATATTTTGATTTCCTCATCCCTTGTTTGATTGGAAGACTGGAGAGAAAGGAATGGGATAACTGGAGGAGCTACGGGTCCCTTAAAAAACTGTAAGGCATGTCAAACCTATGAGACTGCTAGCTTGAAGATTTTTCATAAACAGAGGAATATCATTTCTCTTATATCACCTTCTAATTTCTGCTTTTCCTTTTTCTGTGATGGTTGGGGATGAGGTTCCCTCGACGCCATATCTGCGGCATGGAAGTTGTTCCTAGTACACAGGGTGAACAAGATCAACAAAAGGAAGCTACGAAGGAATATCATTTTCAAAAATGAAAAAAAAAAACGGTCAGAAGCATCCCTTAAGCCAAGACACTAAGTAAGTTTTATACGATTAGTTTGGAATCATAGTTTTATTCTCATAGCATAAGCCCTTATTTGAGGGGGAAGAAGTGCATAAGATAAGTATATAACTAGACATATATCAATTTTAACAAAACACATATTGTATAGAGAAATACAGGATTCATTATTGTCAAGTGCTTTAGCAGAAGCTTATTGTATTTTTATTTTTACATGTAACTCTTCCAGAATACAACTTTTTCATAAGGAGCTTCTTATAAGAACAAAATACACAATGATTTGGGTCATGTTACAATCCTTAGGGAAAGTGATACGAAGTTAATCCTTACGTCCATCCTACTGATCTCCCTTGTTTCAGTTGCAGGAAGCAGTCCAACACATTGAAAGGAGCTTTCTAAAACAATACTTTGCACCCCTGTTGTCATAGCATCACCCCTGTTGTTCTTGTTTTCTATCTCCATGAATCAAAGTGCCCCAGAGAGGCCTCAGATACACACCCGGTGTCCTCTGAACCATCAGTGACGGCTTCAAAAGAGAAAAAGGAGAATAAAAAAGGCGTCTGCCAATCCAAGAAACAAAGAAAAAAGTCAACCTGAAGCACCAACAGCTCTACCTGATGCACCAGGCTCTAGTGCAGACATTTAGCCCCCTTTGTTATGCATTGTAGTAGTAATATTTTAAACTCTGTAATGATCTTATGTTATGTACTTGTTAATGGTATTGGAACAGTCCAGATAAACTGACTTTGTGTGATGCCAATGTTATTCCAGTTAAATTTGTCTAATGCGTTAAACGGCTTCTATTGCTATGTTTTTTATTGTCACAATTAATGTTAGTGATATGGTTGTATTAGCGGTTAGTTTAGATGCTTGTGAGAAGCTTGACTCTGTGGATGTCTTATGGGCTACACTTACTGATATTAATTAACAATTGATGTTAATGGATGGGCACAGCAGCAGCAACTAGAATGGATTAATCCATATTTGTCCATCGTTTGTAAAGAATATGAGCACAAAAAATTAAATAGATAATTTCATGGGGTTGAATTAATCCAAATCTGCTGCATGGTGATCAGGTAGTTCAGGTTATTGGTTGCTTTGTTTTTAAATCAGTAAACAACTTTTTGGACCTCCATGGCTCCATTTTAGTTATTTTAATAAACTGAAACATTAGGCTAGGATGTACTTTTGAATGCATTAACTGCATTTAAGTCCATTCAAGTTATTCAAATGAAGTACTAGTTTACTTCTTTGTTCATGTTTTCAGGTTACTCAAACACACAAGTAAAAGCCTCTTTTGTCAGAAATATTTAGAAGGATCCATATTTATACAAATAAGCCAATCAATTTACACATCCAAACTCCAAAGTGAACCTAACAATAGTTCCTTCCATCTATTACAAACTGCTACGAATCCTAGAATTCCAAATATAACATAATTTAGTGTCTTTCTTCTAATTCACATTATTACAATTTGTTAGAGACCCCGCTAGTCTAAATGGAGATGACAGATTCTATGGGCAAGTTTATGTACGAAGGCCTAGAAAATAGACTAGTTAGTTATTAGTTGTTCTGTTAGAAACTAATAACTACCATTCTGTTGTGAATGCTATAAATAGAATAAACACTGCAGCGGGAAGGCAGGCTGTTTCTAGACTAGTGTCTTGGCTGGGAAGTTAGAGTTTTATCTCTTTCTTTGGAAACTTGTATACGGTTTATCTCCATTGATGTCAATAACAGATTTCTTGCTTTTCTATTGTTGATTTCTGTTAATTTTCTGTAATTGGATAGTGTTACCTATCATTTGGTATCAGAGCAGGTTGATCCGTTGGATGAGAATTACGCGGGCGAAAATGGAAAGTCGAGTAACTGAATTGGAGAAGAGTCAGCGGGAATTGCAAGAAGGATTGGAACGGAGTATGAGGGAAATGCAAGCCAGTATGGCAGCGATGCAAGCGGGATTTGCGGAATTAAAGAAGAGAAGTTCCGATCGATCGAGGAGTCGTTCCCATCATTCGACTTCATCGCATCGATCGTCGCGACAAAAGCACACGCAGGACAGCGGCAGCTCAGAAGATTCAGATCATCAATCAATTCATTCTACATCGCATCATCATCGCGATCCTGACAGGAATCATCGATGTCACCATCCGGTTGGGAGGAAATTGGATTTACCCATTTTTAACGGAGAAGATGTGTACGGTTGGTTGGTGAGGATGAATAGGTACTTCCGATTAAACAGAACTGAGGAAGAACACAAGATCGATGTAGCGGTGGTTGCCTTAGAAGACCAGGGCCTCAGCTGGTTTCAGTGGTGGGAAGGACAGGCGAGGCATCAGACATGGGAGAACTTTACCAAGGATATGACCAAACGATTTCAGCCAGACTTGGTAGAAAATCCTCTGGGACCACTGTTTAGTATGAAGCAAAAAGGAACTGTGAAGGAGTACAGGGCTATGTTTGAATCAGCTATGGCATCTCAAGGACACTTGACTGATGAGGTGTTGAGAGGAGTGTTTTTGAATGGGCTAAAAAGAGATGTGAAAGCTGAATTGAAGTTGCATTCTACACCAACCTTGGCAAGAGTCATGGATACCGCTACCTTGATAGAAAATAAGAACAATGAAATCAGTTTGATGAAGATGAAGGATGAAGGGAAGAAGAAGATACAAAGTAGAAGTCAGAACTGGAATGAAAGTAACAAATGGAAGAGTTACCAAGGCAGAACTAATGAGGCTACTAAGGTGGTGAATGATAACAAGATGAATCAGGATGTTAAAGATATTCCTATCAGAAGGAGTGGCCCTAGGTTGTCTCAAGAAGAGCTGATTGACAGAAGTAAAAAGGGGCTATGTTTCAAATGCGGGGATAACTGGGGAAGGGGCCATGTATGTAAAATGAAAAATTTCAAGATGATCTTGGTAGAACATTCTGAAGGAGAAGAGGTTTCTGACTTTGAATCTGCAGGTTCTGAAGAAGATAAGCCAACAAATTCAGTTCACTTGGAACACAAAACCATGCAGCTTTCCATATTAAGTAGAGAAGGTATACCCTCCATGAAGACATTCAAGGTTAAGGGAAGAATGAAATGGCCTGGAGGTGAGAGATGGGTGAACATTCTGATTGACAGTGGGGCAACTCACAACTTCTTATCTCAGGAGTTGGTGGAGAATTGGAAAATTCCTTATGATCCTATTCAAGGATATAGGGTACAGATTGGGAATGGAGACTGTATTCCTAACTGGGGAAGATGCAATGTGGTGGAGTTGTTGATTCAAGGAGTAACAATTTTGCAGACCTATTATCTGTTAAAATTAGGTGGGACTGATGTAGTACTGGGAATGCAATGGCTGACTGAGCTGGGAAATATGAAGGTGAACTTCAGAAATCAGATCATTAAATGGAAGCAGCAAGAAGCACAATGCATAATCAGAGGGGATACAATTTCAAATCAGATGGAGATCTCTGTGAAATCTATGGCTCACATTATACAACAGTATGGTGGAGGATATCTTCTAGCATGTGAAGTAAAGGATCAGAACCAAGAAATACAGGAGAAGGAAGAAATATGGCAGCAGGTAATAGCTGAATTTTCTGAAGTTTTTTCATCTACACTTAAGTTTCCACCTGAAAGAAAGTGTGACCATGCTATAAATATAAAGGAGGGTGCTAGTATTCCAAACCTCAGACCCTACAGATACTCTTTTGATCAGAAAAATGAGATAGAAAAAATTGTTGATGAGATGCTGAAATCTGGGATCATTAGGCATAGTAACAGCCCTTATAGTAGCCCCATCCTATTGGCTAAGAAAAAGGATGGAGGTTGGAGGTTCTGTGGAGACTATAGGGCGCTAAATAAAGTTACTATACCTGATAAATTCCCTATTCCCGTCATTGAGGAATTACTTGATGAGTTGGGTGGTGCCAGGATTTTTTCTAAATTGGATCTCAAGTCAGGTTACCATCAGATAAGGATGAGAACCAGTGATATCCATAAAACAGCTTTCAGGACCCATGAGGGCCACTATGAATATTTAGTTATGCCCTTTGGGCTGACTAACGCCCCTTCAACATTCCAGTCACTCATGAATGATGTATTGAGGCCATTTCTAAGAAGGTTTGCTCTTGTCTTCTTTGACGACATTCTAGTGTATAGCCAAACTAGAGATGATCATAAACAACATTTAAGATTGGTTCTGGAGGCTCTAAGGAGAAATCAGCTAGTGGCAAACCTCAAGAAGTGCTCGTTTGGGCAAGAACAGCTAGGGTATTTGGGTCATATAATATCTGCAGCAGGGGTGGCAGCTGACCCTGAAAAAATCCTAGCTATGAAGAATTGGGACACACCTAAAGATCTGAAGGAACTAAGGGGATTTCTAGGTCTTACTGGCTATTATAGGAGGTTTGTGAAGGGTTACAGCAGTATTGCTGCTCCTCTGACTTGTTTGTTAAAGAAAGATGGTTTTAAGTGGAGTGTGGTAGCTACAAAAGCTTTTAATGATCTGAAAAGTGCTATGGTTTCAGTTCCAGTACTCAGGATGCCAGATTTCAACAAATTATTTGTTATAGAGACTGATGCATCAGGGAAGGGTCTTGGTGCTGTACTCATGCAGGAAGGTGGCCCTATTGTGGCCCTATTGCGTATATGAGTAAACAGCTTTCACCTAAACATCTTACAAAATCCATCTACGAGAAGGAATTGATGGCAATTGTTTTTGCCATACAGAGGTGGAGGCCTTATTTGCTTGGCAGGGTGTTTGGAGTGCATACAGATCAGAAAAATCTTAAATATCTAACCGAGCAAAAAGTTATGGGAGAAGACCAACAAAGATGGATATCTAAACTAATGGGATACAACTTTACTATAAAATACAAGCCAGGGATTGAGAACAAAGCAGCAGATGCCTTATCCAGAAAGGGTAATTAGTAATTACTCAGCCTTATCTACCATATACTGCCAAGAATGGGAAGGGTTAGTGGAAGAATTGATGGCAGATCCAAAATGTGGGGAGTTAATTCAGAAAGTGTTAGCACAGCCAGACAAGTTTGTGGACTACAAATTGAAAGGGGGGTTAATCTACTACAAGGGAAGGTTGATGTTACCAAGAGAATCCAAAAGAAAGGGTGCAATATTACAAGAATATCATGATTCTGCTATAGGAGGTCATGCTGGCTATTTTAGGACAATGAAAAGGATAACCAGCATGTTTTACTGGATAGGTATGAAAAAAGATATTCACAGTTATGTCCAAGGATGTGAAGTGTGTCAAAGAAATAAATACCAAGCTTTGAAACCTGCAGGGCTGCTGCAACCACTACCAATACCTGAGCACGTTTGGGCTGATATAAGTATGGATTTTGTGGGGGGATTACCTAAATCTCAGGGCAGAGATACTATCCTAGTTGTGGTGGATAGACTGACTAAGTTTGCGCATTTCATACCCTTAACTCATCCTTTTAATGCTAAGGGAGTGGCTGAAGTGTTTGTACAGGAGGTTGTAAGAATTCATGGGTTCCCAAAGTCAATTGTCAGTGATAGAGATAGCATTTTCTTGAGTTCATTTTGGTCTGAGTTATTGGCTGGTACCAAACTGAAGTATAGTACTTCATATCACCCCCAAAGTGATGGGCAAACTGAAGTTGTAAACAGGTGCTTGGAGACCTACTTGAGGTGTTTAACTGATAAAGCACCTAAACAGTGGGTGAAGTGGTTACCATGGGCTGAGTATTGGTTTAACACAAATTATCACAGCTCCCTGAAGTGTACACCCTATAAGGCTTTGTTTGGACAAGAACCTCCTACCCTGATCAGAGGTGATGTTTCTTTGACTGCAGTAGATGAAGTGGCAAAACTAACAGCTGAAAGGAATCAGGTTTTGAAAGAATTAAAGGAGAATTTGGCCAAAACTCAGAACTTGATGAAACAACAAGCTGATAAGCACAGAAAGGAGGTGAATCTAGCAGTGGGAGATAGAGTATTTCTGAAAATACAACCCTACAAGATGAGGAGTTTAGCTAAGAAAATCAATCAAAAACTTAGTCCAAGGTTTTATGGGCCCTATGAGATCGTGGAACAGATAAATCCTGTGGCTTTTAAACTACAACTACCGGAAGGGTGTAGAATACATCCGGTATTCCATATTTCTTTGCTTAAGAAGGTGCTGAAACCTACAGTGGCTTATCAGAACCTCCCAGAATGTCTCACAGAAGATTGTGAGTTGCAAGTGAGGCCTGCAGAAGTAAGAGGCAGCCGGATGAATAAAGAAGGGAAGCAGGAGATCCTTATTCATTGGGAGAAGCTTCCTGACTTTGAGGACTCATGGGAGGAATTACAAACAATCCAAGAACAATTCCCTACTTTTCAACTTGAGGGCAAGTTGAGTGTTCCAGGGGGGGTATTGTTAGAGACCCCGCTAGTCTAAATGGAGATGACAGATTCTATGGGCAAGTTTATGTACGAAGGCCTAGAAAATAGACTAGTTAGTTATTAGTTGTTCTGTTAGAAACTAATAACTACCATTCTGTTGTGAATGCTATAAATAGAATAAACACTGCAGCGGGAAGGCAGGCTGTTTCTAGACTAGTGTCTTGGCTGTGAAGTTAGAGTTTTATCTCTTTCTTTGGAAACTTGTATACGGTTTATCTCCATTGATGTCAATAACAGATTTCTTGCTTTTCTATTGTTGGTTTCTGTTAATCTTCTGTAATTGGATAGTGTTACCTATCACAATTGTAGTCAACGATCTCTGGTTCCTCCTTTCTTCAATTTCAGATTGCAGTGCAACTGTGATCTCATTAACTTCAAGAGTCAAGACGGACACCATTTTGTCTGTTAATTAAAAATAATCTTTTTGACCTCCCCAAGCTCAATTATGAAGTTTTTGCTTGAATTTCACCTCCTTTCCAAGCAAAGAATCAGCATCCTCCCTCCTTCATCAGTTTATAAATAAAAAACATCTGTAATTTATCCCAAAGTCTGTTATTTGCAGAACATAAGGTACTTCGAATAACAATAATTCAAACTACAACCATTAATTTAACTGCTACAAAAATCAGAAATTTGAACTACAAGCAGCACTTCTGCCAAAACGTCTTCCTAGACTAACAGTAAGGTTAAAAATATATTGAGTGAATAAATAACAGTCATGTTACACAACTTAACTTCAGTTAACAATCTATCAATTAAATTATATATTAAGAACTTTAGAAGCAGTGTGCTGAACATAAAACAGCCAACATCATTTGTAACCATGGCTATTCGGCTATTCTTGCAAACTATTTACATCAAGTGTTAGTTTGTATCCTCTTCACTCCACCTTAGTTACCCGGCTTGACCCCAATCCAACTATAGCAAAGCCGTTTAGACCGCCCATGTCTCTATGAATTAGTACCATATTACCATGAACTCAGAACTATAAAGTCTGGAATGGACATAATTCACATTCATTTATATTAGCAAATTTTGAATTTTGAGAAGTTGAACGTGTCAAACAAGGATTTAAATCATGCCAGAAAAAACAGATAATATCATTAATAGTCAGAGAGACTGATTACATATCAAGGCATTCTGCCGAGTCCTCTCCTGTTATCCTCGTGTTTTTCCTATGGCACCTTGGTTTTTAAATGTAGAAAGCTTAAAACTTAACAATTGTAAAAAAGATGAATGAAATACACTATTCATTGACAACTACACTGTCATTATGGAAAACAATCGGATGAGGATAAAATAAATAAAAAGAGACCAATGACGTAAACATAAATGAGTAAAGATTGTCCATTCCTTTCAATTAATTATGTGCTTCATACCATATTATCATCAAATAAAGAGACCAGAATAGTCAAACGAAAAGAGAAAGTATGATTCATTCCTTTTAATTACTTATGTGATAAAACAAAATAATAGTTGAAATTATTAGATTAGTAGTTTTATAAACCTGGAATGAGGGTTTCAAGGTACATCAATGCTTTGATTACAACATTGAACTAATAAAAAGGCTAAAATGCAAGTGTAAGGGTGTAAGGGCATATGCATTGAAAATGGAGTATTTGGCCATGTTCAGTGAGACCATCCTATTTAACATATTTTGACCATGTTCAGTGGCTTGGTTTGGACAAAGAACTGAGCACCTTGTGGTAAAAAACCACCCCAAACCAAGTACTGAGAGACCATTCAATTTTCATAATATTCATTTTTTTCTTTCCTTTAATTTTGTGCAAGTTCTACCTATTCTACAGGATCCATTGGTTACTAAAGGACTAAACCTGGTGCCCCTCCTGGGCATAGATGTTTAGTGAAGAGTGAATAAATTAGAGACGATACACTCACCTTAAGCTGTTCCGAAGTGGATTGAGCCGGTGTGGCAGATCGGTGCGACCTTATGGGTGACGATAGGATCTTGTTGACGACAAGGCCAGCCTTTCATTTGGCAGATCAGATCGGTGCGACCTTAGCCAACGCCAGTTTCTTCCTTTGACAGACGCCCCGATTTCCCAGACCAGATTCTTCCTTTAGCGGGTGCCGGCAGCCTCTTGATTCTTGAAGCTTGGAGTAGTTCCGTCTCTCGCCTCGCCTGATTTTCGTTAAAGAAAGATGGGCCTGTTTGCAATAAACGTTTTAAAAAACCAATCAGATTGCGCCAGCTTGAGAACACACCAAAACATCCCGTAAAATAAGTGCACCATAAAATTTCCCATGTAACATTACCTTGGATTGGATGGGTGGTGTGGTTCACTCCAATCACGGGGAGAGAGATGACTAGATGAGAGGAAATATTAAAAAAAGAGCTAAGGAAAAGAAGTATAAGCAATCAAATAGGTCCTAATGACCTATTTAACACCTCTTAATCCCGGTTTTAGCGTAATTGTGATCATCTTTTTCGAAAAGATTATACGGCATACGTCGAATATTTAACTAAAATTGGTTGAAATACAAGTCAAAAAAATCAACATGTAAGCTAAACCCGGGATTTGGAGGTTGTAAATAGATCGTTAGGACTCATTTGATTGTTTTTTACAAGTAGAGGTACTTATATGACACTTTATTGAGCACATGGCCTTATGTGACTATTTCATAATAGTAGAAAGCCTTATTTGACCCTTTTCTCAAAAAAGTATGAAGGGAAAATTTTATTTTCAACCATTTTTTGTTGAACGCAGTTATTGAGAATGTTACTTATCTATGACGGCTTCTCACGAACGGTTGGACTGGATTGTCATAACTTTACTCCATTTTTTTCTTTTTGTGGTCATAATAAATTTCTCGGGAAAATTGTCAAATAGGTCCTCGAACTTTATAAAAAGGTCAAATAAGTCCTTATATAGGAGGCTCTGTCCGGCCGTCGCGATTTGGGACGGTTCCCGGCGGAATTTTTTGATATCGGGAATGCATTCAAATTAATTCTTCAAGATAACTGTGCAGTTAAATGCACAGTTATCTTCAAAAATTAATTTGAATGTGTAACTGCGCCGTTATCTTGAAGAATTAATTTGAATGCGTTCCCGATTGAAGTTTTAGCTGAAATTTGGTATGAGTAAATTAGACTTCATGAATAAGATACTGAAAAAATTTCATCAAAAAATTCCACCGGGAACCTCCCCAAATCGCGACGGCCGGACAAAGCCTCCTATATAAGGACTTATTTGACCTTTTTATGAAAGTTAGAGAACATATTTGACAGTTTTCCCTAAATTTCTCATATATTAGAGGTCCTAACTTTCTCACATATTAGGGGTCCTAACTTATAGGGTAATGTTCTTGTTGGGCATATTGCCCCGGCCTACTACTGTTCAGATGCCCAAGACACCGCCCCGATACGAAGCCCATTCGGCCACTTATGTAGCAACAGTAACAAAGCAGCCTTCGCACCAACAGAAGATGCACGCTTATGTACGTTACCAACATACCCCTCGGGAAATATGTATAAATAAAAAACTTCTTGAAAATCATCATCAAGGGCACCAACAGTAACAAAGCAGCCTTCGCACTAACAGAAGATGCACGCTTCCCCTTAGAAAACCCTCATCCCTCGACATGTGGGGGACTGAGGGAATGCCCTCGGCAAACACCAGAGAACAAATGATCAATGGAAGGAGTCTCTCACGACAAGAACACATTCGGCAGAACCACCACAGTTACTCCTTTTCCCTCAAATATCTTTCGGCAAAAGGAGTGGGGGGCTCCTGATGGAGTATATGGCCCAGGGACCCCCGACCCACGGACTCCCGCTTCTTTAACACAGGCCCATGACCGGGCTAAACTTGCAAGTATACAAGTGCCGGTGTAGTAATAAAATACCGGTAAATACCGGGTCGATCCACAGGGAAATGGTTGATATTATAAAGTCGAGTATTGAATGCAACAAATGTAAATGGTATAGTTTTTCAGGAACTTTGTTCTTTGAGGTTGATTTAAACAAGAATGAGAATTACTAAGGCAATCAGGATTCACCTAAATGCTTTAATAGTTGTTTAATAATAGTTCTTCCCCAATAATCATGAATACGATGTCGCTAATATATTCTCAACTCCGGTTAAGGCAGTGAGAGCGTGGTTTTCTTTACGTGTAAGTCCCGTTACGGCTTACATTCATCTACCGAAAACCCCGTTGAATATCAAGACATCACACCTGGATCATATAAGACCGGATATATTTCTATTCTCGGTACTATGTATGTTTATCCTTTAATGTTCATAGTTTAGACTTCAACGTTAATTGCAAGCATAAACTAAATTTAACATACTTCTATGTTGTACACCATAGTCATAAACAATCAAAATATAAAGGATAAATCACAATTTATTGGTTTAGAACTTTTATCAAACACTTAGTGTGCATAGAGGTTCATCCCTAGCCTTAGCTAAGAAATTAGCCTCTAATGCTCATATTAATCAACATACAATATTGAAATGTAATGGAACATGAAATTACAAAGGAAATAAGACCTAAACACCAATGGTTTCGAAGGTTGAAGTTTTCTCCTCAAGAACTTGAAGAACAATAGCAAAAACAAAGTATGAAAACTAGGAATTAAAGTATGGAATGAAATGTCTTTGCTTGATGAATTGAGGACTTTATATAGGCTAAAGAATGACATCTTTTAGTCTATTCGAGCCCAACAATTAGGTATGGAGCAATATTTGATCAAGAGATGAGGAAGGTGAAGTTTTCCCATCAAAAACCCTCTTGAACGTTGCTGTGTTTTAGCAGAAAATCGTCCCAACCGGCCCCGGTCAGTCTAGAACCGGCCCCGGTCGCAAACAGTCTCGTTTAGTGCAAAAATACCTTCCGACCGGCACCGGTTCTTGGCTGACCGGCGCCGGTTGCAGCGCCCAAAAATGTACTTCATCTTTCTTCCTCCGAAATGGGTCAAAAAATGTCTGTTTTTGTACCGCGATTTTGGGAATGTTCCGCTATGAATTTTGACATGATTCCTTCACCAAAGTTGTAGATAATGAAGTCTTCTATCCACCAAAACTTGAATGATGTGATTTTATTCATCCAATCAAACGTGATGGCTAAAACACTGAGAGGTATGCATCCTGAAATCCCACCAGCAACATCTGACTTTGTTGGTTGATTGAGTCTTGTTCCTTTCATATTTTTGCCATGACGTCTTCATAACATTTGTTCCTTATTGAGTTAGCATTCACATGAAACTCGAATCAAGTGATTTCGAGTTCTATAGAATAAGTTATACTCAAATTATGGGCAGAACGTCATTCTCTTGGTCTAAAAAGCCGTTCATCGCAATGTTTTATGCTCTAGCTCTCATTCTGGAGGTATTTGCCCGATTTCTCTTCCTTTCTTCAACAAATACTTATAAATACTTATGTTAAACACAAGTAAATATAACGGCTATCAGCCCAATAGGACCAGGAAGCACACGAGGCCCAAATACCGCGGCCCAAGCATGAAGGAAAACGCGGTACACATGATGATGCCTTCGGCCATATGGCCGATCGAGGGCTCCAAACCCCAGGAGACAGCTAGATTTGGGCATACGAAGCTACAGGGAGAAAATGCAAGAAAATCAGTAGCCATCAGCCCTATGGTGCCCTCGACACATACCCAGCCTTCGGCCGTACACCAGCCTTCAGCCATAAGCTCTAGGCCGAAAGGACTAGGTCTGGGCATGGGTAGGGTCAGGGAGGGTAATGCAAAATAAAATGGAACCGCCGGTTCCTTTGTACGGTCCCGTTCGGTCTGGGTATTGCAATTTTCAAAACAGGAACCAGACCTTACCTGGCCCGTATTGAAACGGGTCGGTCCGGTCCGGGTTTTACGATTTCTATTCCCATGTTTTAAAAGTAGTAAAAACTCACGAAGTTCCAAAAATCAATAATAAAAAGTATAGTACATTAGTAAGTTTCAAAATAACAACGTAGTGGTGCACATGTAAAGCAAGTGACAATTCCAATACTTCATAACTCTATGTATCCAAGTTCCAAACAATTAAAGAAGTTCCAAAAATTAGTGACAAAGCCAAAATACATATTTTACATATTTCCTAACATGTTGTCTAACATCACATATTTAGGTTATTCTTTTTATTAATTTTTCATTATTATCCCAAGTTCACACACACATGGGTGTGGTGAACACAATTTATATATTTTAAGAACAATATGTTTTTTGAAGTTTTAAGAACAATATTATAAAAATAAATATTACAAAAGCATTTTTAACAAATAATTAAATTCCATAGAAAGGAATAATTCACTAACAATAAAAAGTGATAAGAAATTTATGTAAAATGTAAGCAGTAATTTGAAAATCTGAAAATAAAAGGGTGTTAGTGCAAGTCAATTTAAAATCCTACTTCTAGCAAAAGGAATCAAAACTATATCAAAATCGATTATCATAAAACTATTACGTAGTAATAAATTAATACACAATATACATAGTATATAACGGGCCGGGCCGGGTACCTGACATTTTATTATTTTGAAACCGGTCCGGTTCTTTAAAAAAAATTACTCGGCCCCACCCAGATCATTTTCATGCAACAAAAAATGGAATCGGCCTGTTTTGGACCGGAACCGCCATTACCCGGACCGGACCACGGTTCTAAGTCCCCTTTGCCCACCCCTAGAAAAGTCACCGTCTCACGAAGCTTCCTCATCTGAAGACAAGCAACCACCGCATTCAATGCGACGTCACGTCCAACCACCGCATTTAATGTGGTACACATGCAAATGCTGGTGCCACCCTGATTGAGGTGATCCCAGCCGTGAGATGATTGACACGTGTACTCGCATAGCATTTATGGCTGCTATAAATAGCAGTCCTTATTCCTCTTGTAAAGGATCCCAGATTAGATATCATTAATACATCTGACTCTATCTTTCTTACTTGTTTTGCTCTAACTTCTCTCTAAGTTATTTCTCATAATAACTATCGGATAAACTACCTCCGGGCACACTATCCATCAAATAATAATAATAATAATAATAATAATAATAATAATAATAATAATAATAATAATAATAATAATAATAATAATAATAATAATAATAATAATAATAATAATAATAATAATAATAATAATAATAATAATAATAATAATTGTTG